TTTATCCGTACCGGATACTAGTCTGAAACGAGTATCCGGCTCATCCCTAGCAGTAACCACCCTGCCCTGCCTCTTCCTCCTTGCTGTCTGCCGGCTGTGATCACAAGCAACATAAGAGTAGTTCCTGCTGCTTCTTCGGGAAACAGCGCAAAAAAAATCAAAAAATTCAAAAAAAATTTAAAAAATCAACAAAACTTGGGATCTTGTAGGCGTGGCGCTGGGATTTCAGCCGTGGCGGGCCTCCATGGCTACGCCTATGTAAGGGAAACACTGGCGTACATAAAAGCTCTTCAATGATTGGTTAAGGGGGGTGGGATTAATCCAATAAGCGATGGCTCCGTCTTGTCAAATGCACCACCTACGTTATGAAAAAAGTAACTTTAAATAACTTTAAGGTAACTTAAAAAAGAGGCGAGCTGAAGAAAACCTAGGGAGTACTGAAGAAACGTGATCAACAGTGAAGCAAGCACAGAGATCCGTTACTGTCTGTGTGTGTGCGCGCGGATGCATGGGCCGGACGCGAACTGAGCTTCCGGCTGCAGAGTTTTATGTGTAGGGAGGGGCGGGCGCTCTATGTGACTGGCCAATCACAGCGCGTGAAGACAGTCAGTTATCCAATGAGGATCTTCCTTCAGCACGATTACAGATATTTACGAGTTTTACTCGTTTCATGCTCGTATTCGTCAAAAATGCTTTATCTGTACCAGATACTCGTTTGAAACCAGTATCCGGCTCATCCCTAGTTCAAATGTTTTTGTCCAAATTTTAGAGATGTTCTGAAATGTTTATGAACATGATGTCCAAAAATTAACACAACTTCTTCAGTTTGAGACCAATTGTGGTTCAAAGCAAACCTAAAATGGGAACCAGTTAACAATGACGCAAACAAAAAAATCTCAAAAGATGCACGCCCCGTTTGCACCGCAGAGGAGCGAGCTGGGGCAGAAGTAGCAGCCTTGGTATTAAAACTGACGACAACGCACTTTTTTGGTGGAAAATATGCAGCCAGACTTCCCTAGATGTCGCTACTAGCCCCAAAGTAACCGTGTGTCTGTGCCACAAGCTCATTGAAACAGGTTTTCAGCAGTCGGTCCTCAACGTCCTTTGTTGAAGCCGGAAAAGGTTACCATGCTGGTTTTTCAGGTGAAAAGTCTTTTTATAAGCTGTGTTTTTTATTAGTTAATATGTGTGTTATTATTTTAGTAATAGTGTTTGTTATTCCGTTTCTGAACGGTGTAGCATCCAGAAATGGTCAGTTTTTCATGTACAGTTTGACCACTTCAGTATCCGGTCATAGGGAGACACAAGTCTACATCTAGTGCCTTTAATCTGCTGGATTCTGCTATTCCATCAGCTGAAGTCCAGGCCTCTGCAGGTTTGCACAGGATAACATATTGTCAACAAAACATAAGTAAAGGTAATATATTAAGCTTAAAAGCAACATATTATACCCTCTTACAACGGTAAAGGTCCAAACCAACAATTTGGTAGTTCCACTTGAAGCTTACGTCATCATTTTTACATTAGTCCCGGTGATACTTGGCTGTAATTTGGATGCTAATATAATTCTGACACTTCCTCTGCTTTAAGGCTACTTACCAACAGCCTGGAGTCACTTGCCCCTCTATGGAGGTGAAGTGTTTGCAATATGTGAAGATTGTCTGCTTAGAGGACACAAGCTTCCCAGAAAGATTTCTTTTTATTTCTTTATTTGACCTTTATTTAAACTGATGAGTCGATTGAGAATCCATTCTCATGTACAATGATGATCTTGGCCAAAAGCAGCAGCAACAGACACATCATTAGCTTTACAAGATGGTCAGGTTCAGATCAGGGTAGACAGACAGATGGATACATCTTTGTTGTCCCCTGTGGGAAAGCTGCATGTGTCCAAACAGGTCTGTTTTTTTCTGTTCTGTTTACATTGGCTATGGGGGAAATGACATACGTTTAGCTGCACATGACTTTTATTTTGAAGGTTTTCGGATCATTGGGGACATCTCCATAGTCCACAGGAGCACCTTGGCTTAGGTTAAGGGAGAAGCTACGTCCATAACATCATTTAAGGACTCCAGGTATTGAGTTTTTCCTTTTCAGTTCCTGGAGAACTCTTATGTGTGAAGACTGTTTTTAATGCTTTTTAGCTTTAATGGAGTTTAGGGACATTTACTGACTGAAATCTGTTTAGCTTCACCTCAACTAACAAAGAATTTCTAGAGGTGCGTGAATAAAACGAATCTCAGTTTTTATTTAGAAAGATTCTGAATCGATTCTGTCTGAAAGCTTTAATGTAAACTGCTGTTTCCGAGCATCCTTGAAGGCATCATCGCTGGAGCGCTAGCTGTGCTCCTACGCTGCAACCTGCTGAAATACGACAGACTAACTTTTATTATTGTCCTGTGTACTTTTATGAGTCAAGCAGGAAGTTCCATTGTGTTTTATATGTTTGAGTGTTGCTTCATGCTGACTGCACCGTGCATAATTCACTCTTGTTAAGACTAATAGTGTCTGATCAGTGATACATGTAACTGGTCTATGTGAACACGTGCTACTGGATGGTATAAAAGCTGTTTATTAGTTTAAGATGTTTCACATAAACTGACATCTCGTTTCCCTGCTTCTTCACACACACACACACACACACACACACACACACACACACGTTCTAGTCTAGAGTTCAGAGCGGTTCTGGTTCAGTCCGCTGTTGGATCATCAACACTTGACAGGAGACATGATGGTCTTTCATACAGAATGTCTCGTGTCTTCATCTGTCTAGGGCTGTTATGATGGTTTTATTTTTGAACCATTTGAACATTAAATGTTCTCTGCAGACCTGTTAGTGTCCTCCATCATTCAGGTGCTATGAGTGTGTTCTGTTGTCCTTCTGGGTAAAGCAGCAGTTACAGGATGGTGGAGATTTCTTTTAATCGTTGATTTTACCTATTTTTATTTTCTATCCTTTATTTTAATGAGATGTGTTTGTTTCACATAGATTACAGTTGACTTTGCTACTAAGTGTTGTTCTAGATCTTAGCAATGATGTTTATGCTTCATTATTTGTTTCTTCTTCTTGTAATAAAACTTAAACTTTGCTGGCTGAATGCAGAAGTGTTTTCTCTTTAAGTCTCTGATCAAATCCCACAACACCACACATGGCTCCATCCCACAAATCTCCAACTACAAGAAGCTATCCTATCAATGTGAGGCAACATTTCTGAAGAATGCTTTCAGCACCTTGTTGAATCAATGCCACGTAGATTTAAGGCAGTTCTGAAGGTAAAAGGGGCTCAAACACCGTATTAGTATGGTGTTCCTAATAGTCCTGTAGGTGAGTGTATATATATGTCTATTATACATAGAATATTACATTTAGTAAACTGTATTTTTGCCCATCAGACCTCATTGAGTGAAGAAAACAAGAGCGTCTGGTGGCCGCACCAAGCATTACATGAGACAATTTCTAAATCAGCACCTTCACAACACTTTTTGTTTTCTTCTCAGAGCTGCTTCAGAAAAACAAACCAAACATCAAAGGTTTCTCCCACATTCTTTACAGAAAATATTTTTCTGCAAATACTTCTCGGTTTGTTTATACGTCAAGAAATCAAGAGAAAAATAAAATTGGTCACAATGAGTTGATAGAACATCACAAATACAACATTTATTTACTCTTACGTTTGTCAGGGCTTTTGAAAAAATTGTTAAAAAAATAATAAAAATGTGTGTTTTATTAGTCCCATTCTGAACACACAGGTGTGTGTTATTCTGCTCCAGCAGGTGGCGCTACTGCACCTTTACGCTGGTCACCGACCACCGGAAAAAGCAGAAACCGGAAGCTGCCAGCAGAGCTAGCTTGTTGTTGTTCTGGTGTGTGAGGAGAATATTTGAGGCTCTGCAGTAAAAATGTCTTCACTTCAGTCTCTGGGAGAGTTGATCAGCTAAAGCGACTAACTGCTGCTGCTGCAGAAATCTTCTCACCAGGCTGTGGAAACTTTCTTCTCCTCCTCAACAACTTGGTGGAGTTCTTTCCAGAACCGGAGAAGATATTCTGCGGTCTTCGTGACAATCGGAGCTCCAGAATCAGGTTGTGGGTGAGAAAAGCTTTTCTCTAGACTTCCTGCCCTCTGGATCTGCTGCTGTTCCTTTGGCCTCTCTGAGAAACGCGCTCGTTTTGCTGCTTTCATCAGATTGAAGAGGTTCCCTCTATCAGACTCGCTCATCTGAGTTGGTCATGATGCAGGATCGCTGCTCGCTCTCTGATCCATCCTGCTCACACTCTCCGACGGAAACGCCCCGAATCTGAATGTGACTCTGGAGGAAAAAGCGGTTAGCTCTACTCCGTGAACTCTGGTGAGCAAAGGTCCTCTTTTCCAGACTGGATCTGTCCTCAGCTGATCAGAACCAAAGCGTTGGATCTTTAATCTCCTGCGTTGTTCTGAAGCAGCATCTTAATCAGCTCTCCTGCTTTGTTTCTATTGCAGCTGTTAGCTAAACACGGCTAAAGAAAACCTGCTACCACTTCAGGATCTGGGACTGATTCATCGTGTGTTCTTCACCACCTGGACCTGGACAGCATGGACACAGGTACTGGTGCACACCAAACCATCAGCACTCCCACATCCATAATCCAGCATCTCTGTACAGATGGTCTCTGCAGACAAACTTCAGTGATGCACAAACACAAGAAAACATCAACATCGGCTCCTGAAACCAGAAATCAGCTCCATGTCTTCTTTCTGTCAGCGTTCTACCAGTTACCTCATTCCTTCAGTCATGACCACTTACCTAAGCTAACATGTTTTTATTTTAACCGGACAGATGAATTTTTCAGGAAACATAAATTCTGTGATTTTGACCATAAACATGATGACATCATACAGAAAACTAATGTATAGACCAGTCAGTGGACACTTTTACTTGATGTTAGTCATTATTAGTATTTTACTTGTCATGATGACAGATAAGGCAGTGCCTCCCCCCATCCTTGTTTTCCAACCTTTATTTTACCAGGTAAAATGTTTAAGAACATGTTCTCATTTACAAACATGACCTGGCCAAGAGGTCTTGGAAGGAAGTGCAAAAAAAAAAAGCATATTATTAATAATAATAATAATAATAAGGTTCACTTTTTATTTAGTGTGAGGAATGCAGCAGCCAGGCTCCTGCATCAGACTTTGGGTGAGAGTGTTTATGTCTGCTTTGAGGAACAATAAGTGAGCAAAGGGTTGTTTTGGGACTCCAGATGGTGTTGCCATGAAAGGTGCATGAAAGGTTATGTTGTGTCAATTAGATGGTGAAAAATAGACCTTTTTGTACGTTACACTGTTCTTTACTGCCTGTTTTATTTTATATACTTCTGTTATTTTCACTGCAGTTCCTATAAAAAGTGAAGATGAAGAGAAGCCTCTGTTCTCACAACTTCATCAGCAGCAAATAGAAGACAGAGATGTTCCATCCAGCCGCTCAGCTGACCAGATTAAAGCAGAAACTGGTGGAGGAGCAGAAACTAGCAGGAACCCAGATCTGAACCCTCAAGAACAAACATCTGATTCTTCAGAGACTGAAGTTAGTGGAGATGATGATGATGATGATGATGATGATATGAATCTAGACTCTGAACTGCCAAACTCAGGGTCTGAAATTGGAGACAAAAACAATGACTGGAATGAGAGCAGGTCTTTTCAGTCAGAAGTTAAGACAGTCAACAAATCTTTTAGCTGCCCTGAGTGTGGTAAATTATTTCCCCATAAGCGGTCTCTCCAGAAACATGTGAGAGTGACAAGTCATTCAGCAATATGCTCTTCAGGCTTTTTGATTAATAATAAAAGTGTTGGAGTGAAGCAACATCTAGACTCAGATAGGAAAGTTCAGAAAGATCTAAAATCATTTAGATGTGACGACTGCGGAAAAATATTTAGTATAAAATCCCAATTAAACAAACACATAAGAGTCCACACAGGACAGAAACCTTTTGCCTGTGAGCTTTGTGGACAAAGATTTAGCCGTAAGTCAACTTTAAGTGATCACATGAGAGTCCACACAGGAGAGAAGCCATTTCCATGTGAGCTCTGTGGTCAAAGATTTAGCCTGAAGTCATCTTTAAACAGTCACATGAGAGGCCACACAGGGCAGAAACCTTTTGTCTGTGAGTTTTGTGGAAAAAGATTTAGCCGTAAGTTAACTTTAAATACACACATGGGAGTCCACACAGGACAGAAGCCTTTTCCCTGTGAGCTCTGTGGAAAAAGATTTAGATTGAAGGGAGATTTAAACAAACACATAAGAGTCCACACAGGACAGAAACCGTTTGTCTGCGAGCTCTGTGGAAAAAGATTTAGCCAAAAGTCAGCTTTAAATGATCACATGAGAGTCCACACAGGAGAGAAGCCATTTCCATGTGAGCTCTGTGGTCAAAGATTTAGCATGAAGTCACATTTAAATAGTCACACGAGAGTCCACACAGGACAGAAGCTTTTTGTCTGTGAGCTTTGTGGAAAACGATTCAGCCGTAAGTCAACTTTAAACAGTCACATTACATTCCACACAGGACAGAAGCCTTTTGTCTGTGGGTTCTGTGGCCAAATGTTTTCTAAAACGTCAAGTTTAATCAGACACATGAGAGTCCACACAGGACAGAAGCCTTTTCCCTGTGAGCTCTGTGACCAAATGTTTTCCCAAAAGACAAGTTTAACCAGACACATGGGAGACCACACAAGGACACAAGGAACTAATGTAATAACACAAGTCCAAAAATGATTGTAGTTTGTACATCCTAGTTCCATGTGTTGCAGCCCTGGTTGTTGTCCTGGATCAGAGTTGCTTCCAGCCCATGAGCCACCTCTCCCTGTCCTGCAAGTCACATTTTGTGACCACTAAGCTGTAATTATTTAACTAAATCTCAGTTTCCATTGTGATGCAGCACAATGCATCTCTATTAATGTTTATGTTCATTCATTTAGCAGACGCTTTTTTTCCAAAGCGACTTACAATTTATAACCTATAGGGCATGTTGTGATTTGTGCGGGAAATCGGAGTACACAGAGGAAACCCACGCATGCATGGGGAGAACACGCAACTCCACGCAGAAAGGCCGCAGCCGAGCCCAGTTTTGAACCTGCAACCTTCGTGCTGCGAGGCAACAGTGCTAACCACTGCAGCACCATGCAGCCATTTAAGCCATATTAAGGTAGCGCGACTCGGGTTGCGAATGACCACAGTCACCAATTCTTGACATGTGTAGCGTTATGAACATGCTATTTTCTGCCCTTAACAGCTGCCCTTTAACACCGTGTCAGTGTGCATGAATTGCCACGGTCGTGCGCTTGCTTCTGATGTTTACATTCAAGGAAAGAAGACAGAAGAAGGACGAAGAACGCTTTTCATTAATTAATCAAAGAACTTTATTTCTAATAAAGCTAATCAAAACAAATGTTAGTCAATAATAATCAGGTGACTGATCTGTGAAATCAGTGTAATGATTTATGTGTTTATTGAATAACAGGACTAACTATGCCAGACACTCTGATTCACATAAGGTAAACATCATGACACATTGTTCGCTCATTCCAATCAGAACCTCCGGTCTGTTGCGGGGCAGAGTTCTGTAGTGTTTATTTAATCTGTCCACTCCGATTGGCTAAGAATTATAAACAACGAAGTTAATAAAACAGAGCAACGCCATTTTAACTTCAGTTCCATCCAGTTCCAACGGAGTTTCAACGTAGCTCCAACCAGCTCTCAAAGCCATCATCGCCAAGTGAAGTGCAGGCTGGCCAGCTGCATTTTCTACTTTTAAGCTAAGAACTGTCAAGCTGGAAAATTCTGTCGTTTTAACAACTAGACGACGGTTCCTTCAAAATAAAAGCTGAACGCGCTGACATCTGCCTCTGCTACCGGGAGCCGATCCGCAGACGGGTTTTGTCGTGCTGCAGACGCTGTTTCATCAGTTCCAGTACCAAGGAAGGTCCGAGGACCTGACATTCCTGATCTGACCCGGGAGGCTCCGAAACGGTACGTAGACCGACACAGATGGCGTTTCATGTCACTTCCTCCTGAAGTCCTCGTGGTGCGTAGTCAAAACAGCCCTCCTCAGACTCGCCTGCATCAGCTCGAGATTCTGAACTGACACACACACACACACACACACCAACACGTCAACATTCAAATCCATATGCATCCATCATATAGAGTTAGTCCTGGTGATTGTTTGAATTTATAATTATAGAAATTAAAGATTCTTAAACGATCCCAACTCTCTCTTTTCTTGTCTCTAAGTCAATACAAAGTGTTTGAATAAAACTCCCTGAAGTAAAAACAACCTCTTCTGATTGTAAGGGCCCAGTTCATAGATTAATCTCTGGACGTAATAAAAGTGTAAAGAATATACAACTATATTCCGCTACACACGTGTCTTTTCCGTGTATGTCTGATCTCTGAAATGTGTGTACTGAAACTCTAATTTCCCTCAGGGAATAATAAAGGATTGATTGGTTGATTGCATCGTTACACAGTGATGAGCAGCTAGATCAGAGTTTTGGAGCGTTGCAGTAGAGAGAGTAGCATGGCGTGTCTACTCTGCTTTTAAATAGTTTGTGTAGTGTACAAATAATTGTCTTTTACCAGTGGTTTGTACTTTGTGAGTTGCATAAATATAACTACAGATCTCTTCAGGTGTTCATCCAGTGTTCCAGAACTGGGCCCTGCTAGTGTGATCAGATGACAGTCCAACATTTCCATTACTTTTCACACATTCTGCAAATTTAGACGGTTTCCTGTTGTTTACAGACGTGCGTCTTGTGTTTGAACCTAGCATTTAGAAACTATGATTGTGAAGCAAAACAAGAGAGGGCTGTCAATCAAACAAAAGTGAAGAACACTGTCTGTCTTTCCGATGAAATCAGGATTAATTCCTTCTAAAAAAATGGTGTTAGGAGTAGGCTTGGGCAGGATTACCGCATTACCGTATACAGCCAGAAGTGGGTGTAATTTAACCGAAAGTGGGTGTGGTTTACATCAATACATTATTTTAAGTCTGAAATTGATATGGATTGATCAGAAGTTGCTATGTGTATTGTTAATTTGACAACTATTTACAGAGCAGCCTCAAGAGTTGAGATTAAATGGTTTTGGTCACAATAGTAAATGAACTATTACAGAACAAGTTTTTAATAAATAAATAAAATCAGAACATTAATATTTAAGTGCATTAATTAATACATAGAGAGAGAGTGAAGAAGACGAAAATATCTTTTCTGTAGCGCCTCTCAAGATAAAAATCACAAGGCGCTTCACAAAAACAAAAAATGTAAAAATATAAAAAAGAGTTTAGAAAATGATTAAAATATATTTAAAATGAGCAAAAAATAGACACTTGTGAGTAAAAAATGTAAAGAATGCGGGAGAGTGAATAGGAAAGAGGGAAATTAGTGGACCCTGAGGAAGAGGAGAGAAAGAAGAAATAAATAAACCCGAGCGCAGCGGAGGCAGTGACCAACAGCACGAGCCGTTCTATTTTGTACAGTTCTGCTCTTTAAGCCATCACCTATTGGATTAATCCCATCCCCCTTAACCAATCATTGAAGAGCTTTTATGTACCCGCCTCCAAGGCGGGTCCTGGCCTCATAAAAGGGCCCAGCGAGCTTAGCTCGTCTCCTTTTTCATCTTCAAACAACTAAATTGTTTGAATGAGCTTAAACTATCCTGTTCTTCAAGCACATGTCCGACAATCCTGTCAGTTTGTGCTCCCCAGGATTTACACGACAAGAACAACCTACTGAAAAGTGTCATGTCCAGCGGAGTCGTTCATCTTCTCCACCGGACAGGTACTGTTTATTTACTTAATTGTGGAAGCAGGCCTCCACGCTCCCTGGCGGGACCGAGGCCTGGACTCCCGTGCTCCTCTCCTATGCCATTCCTGCCATGAGAGAGCTACTTCGTTAGCTAGTTGCTAGGCTTTCTGTTCCCTCGCCCATGCTGCATAAGTTGAATGTCTTACTGGCCAACACGGCGCTGTCCAGTTTCGCTGCTCCTATCCAGTTATTACTCGGCTCCCAGCAGCTCTGGCTAACCGGACAGTGTTGGGAGTAACGCGGTATATAAGTAATTAATTACTGTAATGCATTGCTTTTCGCTGTAATGTGGTAATGTAAGGCATTACAGGGAAAGAAAATGGTAATATTTACTCGGTACAATTGTCAGTAACGCGGTATTTACAATGCATTTTTAAACCCAGTATCAAGATGTGGGTTTCCTAAAAATTCAGATTGCGGGAAGCCTGAAAAAAGATCCAGTATCCACATATATGATGTCATTTATGGACTCAGCTTTGCGGGCATTCTATGAGCAGAGAGGACGCAGCGGTAATGGCTCAAATGCTTCGTCCTGCGCGCGGCCGCTGTTATATTCACAAAATCGCTCCACCAAAACAAAGTAATTTGTTTGCGATCGTTTATGTCAGCCAATATTCTCTGGTACTTTATGTACTTTTCAGCTGAGTTCATAATCTGTGCGCCGGTGATTTCAACTCATTGCTGCAGGAGCGCAGCGTGAAGCTTTTTTATTTTTTGCATTCGGTAGATCCCTTTGGCTGATTAGTTAGAAAGTAGGAAATATAGGAAACAGTTTTTCTGGAAGACGGAGAAAACATGCAGCATGCAGGAAGGTTAGAGAGCGAAAGGGCAGGAAATTATTCACATAAAACCAAGAAAACAAAACAAAGTGCTTGAAAAGAAAAAAGTAGGTAGATTTATCCCCAATAAACATTTTTACCAGTGAAAAGCAATAATATATAAGCATTTAATATTTATACATGTGATAGAATCAGATCACCCCAGAAGTCAGTCCCACATCCAGGGCCGTATCAAGGCATTTGGGGACCAAGGCAAATATAGGCTTGGAGCCCCCACCACCTCAGATGGCCCTATAAGATGGCAGCATGCTGAGAGTACAGATTGTTGTTGCTTTTATTTAATAAACAATCATTTTAAAGCACTGTTATTATATATGACTGCTTTTAACAGCAATCCTAGCTCAGATACCACATCACCTTCCACATATATGTCATGAGCTCACTGAGCGTCACATTACCAGATTCATATTGAAGTTGTTTTGGTGAAACTAACAAAGTAATGCCAAAGTAGTGTAATGCCTTACAGTTTAAAATCAGTAATATTGTAATGTAATTAATTACTTTAAAATGAGGGTAACAAGTAATAAATAATGCATCACAGTTTTGAAGTAACTTGCCCAACACTGATCGTGAGTTGTTGTAAGATTCACATCTCTAAAAAGTGTCTGTGAAAGTGGAAGAGATGGAAGTGTGTTTAGATGGTAAATGACAGAGTCCAGAGCGGTACTGGTTCAGTCCGCTGTTGAATCATCAACACTTGACAGGAGACATGACCGTCTTTCATACAGAATGTCTCGTGTCTTCATCTGTCTAGGGCTGTTATGATGGTTTTATTTTTGAACGATTTGAACATTAAATGTTCTCTGCAGACCTGTTACCCCCAAATTCCACTACCTCCGCTCCACTCCGCTGCGGTCCGCCCCCGCCTTCCGCAGCCGCTCGCTTCCGAACTCAATTTTTACTGGTACGCGCTCTACAACGGCTCCGCTCCGGTGCGGAGACCTGAGGTGGGCAAACAAGCATGCGCGGGATTTTCGAGATCTTGCGATACAGTCCGAGCAATAAACGCGGAAGTTAGATCCAAACACCCGTTGTGTGGGAGAAGCATCGACATGAGCTGTTTAATCTGCCCATCATTTGTGTTGAGATCAGCAGTGTTTGGATCAACAAAATGTGACTACTTTGATAGCGGAAACTGTATTTATGGCTTACTTTTGGGCATTTAAAGTTCAGCCGCCATTGATAGTTGTTAAAAGTTGTTAAACCTGTGCATATGAAACAAAAAACGCCTTTTGTTTATCGATTTATTGTGAAAAACGGAAGTTGTGCTTGCTCCTTTTCCTGTTGGGCCGTTGTGATTTCTGTCCATTGATTGCGGAGGTGCTCCGGCGTCCGGCAAAAATAGGATCGATTCTATTTTTGCCGGACACCGGAACAGAGGGCGGCGCACGGCGCCGCACTGCCGGAGCACGGCCGCAGTAGTGGAATTGCTCTGATTGACTACAACGGGACCGATTTTGCTCCGGCGTTCGTGTCGGAGCGGAGCGGAGCGGAGCGGAGGTAGTGGAATTTGGGGGTTAGTGTCCTCCATCATTCAGGTGCTATGAGTGTGTTCTGTTGTCCTTCTGGGTAAAGCAGCAGTTACAGGATGGTGGAGATTTCTTTTAATCGTTGATTTTACCTATTTTTATTTTCTATCCTTTATTTTAAAGAGCAGGTCAAGTGTGCCTCAGAGTCCTTCTTCACCCACGTATCAATTTTAAAAACTGCAACATTAGTGGGCGTTGCCTGGCGGACGGAGAGGGCGGAGCCACGGCAGTGGCAATGGGTAACGAGACAAGCTAGCTCCCTTCAATCTGAGCAGTCATTAGAAGTGGAGGACGTTTCTCCCCCTCCTTACCCAGACACTCGAGAAGAAAGGAACCAAGTCTATTTGGAGGAGACAAGCGGACCTGAGCCTTATTGTTTTGAGCTTGTGAGTTGCCTGAAACTACCGGAACCGACCCAACAGAACCAGCTCTGAATGGTAAGTAGCCATAGCATTAGATTAGCTGCAGGGTTTGGCTCCACGGCCCTAGAGAGCTAGCATTGAGCATGTTTTAGAGATTTATCTGCTTCAACACACCTGGTTTTAATCAGCAACAAATAGCTGAGCTGCTTAACAGCCAATCTAACCTGTTAAAGCAGGAAAACCACTGAAACGTGCTGGATAGCAGCTCTCCAGGAGCCTTGGGCTTAAGTAACAGTCTGCTGCAGAAAGTTATAAAAATACCCCATGAGAAAATTATTCTGTAATGTGTTCATGTATGTTACACAATCCCAAACAGCCCACTAAAACTGCCCTGATTTTCATTATTTACTGATACCAGCTGCTCTCTTGGTCGTAAGTGATCCTCTGGTGTCTGCAGCTGGTCTCCTCTGCTGGTGTGGTCAGGATCAGGAACTTCCAGAAGAATGAACCTTTCAATGACTCTTTCCCCTTTATTTGTTACATTAATTAAATAAATCTCAATTTATATATTTCCTGTTTTTGTTCATGTCCATAAATACTAAAACATGCTTGAAATTAGAACGAGCTTTTAACAGTGAGGTGCTAGTTTAATTCATCACAATAGAGCTAGTTAAACATGCAACAATGTGATAATTCAATTAATGTAATTTATAAATATCCATTAAAATATCAAAACTGGAAACTAAATGAGATATTTGGCAGCACAAAAAACTTGTCACAAACACAATATTTATTATAATAATTGTAGGCAGACAGGAGACAGAGCTGATGGAGGTTCTCAGTCATCGAAGGAAGGCTGAAGGCTTTCCAGGAACAGGAGATGTGGTGTTGTCTCTTCTCTCTCTATTCTGCCAGATGAGCTGATAGGTTACAGGTGTGTGAGAACATCCTCATGCTTTCACAACCAGATGACAGGAGTTATCAGGTGATCAGCCAGGCTAATGATGAGATGCAGAAAGAAAACAAATCCAGGACAGTGTACAATATGTGGTGTTGCTCACCTTATGTGCTCTTATAGAATATTAACGTGTGCCTGCCTCATGGTGCAGAGTCCATATTTTGCTGAGTGTCCTGCACTAATGCAGGTTATTAGTTAATTTACTTTTAATAGCAAAAACAAAATATTTAATGTAAAAGTTATTTACCAGGTGAATCAGCTCACACGTCACCACCAAGTGTCACAGGGGCAGAATCAGTAGCCTCCTTCATGATGTCATGATGTAATCACATACTTATTTAATTGTTAATATCTTAAAAATTCTGAAATGTTTTAATTTTTTTACCTTGAACAGTTCACTGAGCTTGCACTGTCACTGAGGTGGAAGCTGGAATCAACAGCAGGTACCTCACATCTTGGTCTTTTCAGGGGTGTGGACGCTGCTCTGGGACCTTCTGGAAGATGAATTTCCGTCATGGTCCCCGTGGGTCACCAGACACACTGCGGCTGTGAGCTCTTCTGGCTGGCTATGTAAAAAACAAAGAAGCAGCACATTTATAAATGTTTAAAAGAGCATAAAATCACGTGTAACAATAATCTGTAAAACAAATTAAAACTAGAAGGTGATAATAAAATGTTTACAGAAGATTATTAAAAATAATTCACCTTTGCTACGGATAACGCTTCACGTCAGCAAGAACAAGTGCATTCTTGCAGACTACTAAATCAGTCTGACAGCCAGTGTCTTGGGTAGATTTTGCCTGAAAAACAAATAGAAGCACATTGTTGTTGGAGTTTATAAAGTCAGATAATATACAAAAGAAACTATCCTATATAGGCGCATTATAACATTCCTAGTGTGTGATCGTTATTATATAAAAGTCAGACACATATGATGTGGAGAGCCTGAAATGCGATCTCCTGAACAGAATTCCTCACAGATTCGGGTCACGCTGTAATGCTGTCTGTCAACTAGTGCTGCGTTAGAGTCACTGTTGCAGAATTACCGACTGACACAAAAACAACCCGAATTTTCTCCGAGCCTGACAGTAATAGTCATGTGGACCATTTCGTCGGCCAGGGCTTCGAGATATGTTCCGATTCGCCGCAGATTCTAACCTTACATCCCGTTCCACATTTTGTGAACTTGACAAATCAGACCAAAGGCAGTGCAAACTGTTATTAGCTAAATGAAGTGAACCACGTCTCTCGGACTTTGCATTTAGGTAGGGAATTGTCTTTAGAAGATGTTAAAACTTTTATTATTTATTTATTTATTTAACTTATGTTTTTCAGGAGGATAAACTGCTTGAGATGTAACATCATTTAGCTTACTCACCTCAGACTGGAGCCCACCATGGTGGGGGAGCAGAGTCGGTGGGCTGCATCTAAATCGCGGAAGAGCCACGGTGGGAACAGCCTCCCTCTTCAAACGGAGACGTGCAGAATAACCCAGTTCAAACTCCATGTTTGTGAAGGAATCGCGGGTAAAATGCTGGTTGCAAACTACAGCACCAGGTGGGAGCTGACTGTTTACCAGACACCAATTGCGCGCTATCACTGGCGCCTAATTTCTAAGTCCAGCGGAAAGTAGTGCAACCCCACAGAGCCACCGAACCCACTACACTACACCTTCTCACCATACTAACACGATAAGGAGCACTAAACCCAAACTACTTTCCCAATAACACTAACAGCTAAACACTAACTAAACTACAATATCCAACAGCCAAGCTAACACTAAATAAGTATGTATAACACTAAAAGCTATGCTAAAGATTAGATATGCTAATGCTATATGCTAATGCTGAACTACCGCTAACCGTCCTACACTCGCTTGCAAATCCAACTCCCAACTCGCCACAAGGCGTGGCCGAAACTCTCGATGCTTTTATAACTTTGACACAGAGCTGCTACGTAGTACTCTACTGGTTTACGTAGTATCTTTCTCTTTAGCCATTGGCTAAAGCGTATTCAAAATTACTCAAACTTTTTTAAAATACTCACGTTAAAGTCATTTGAGCACAAAAAATGCACTTACAAAGATGGCCAGTTGAACACTTTATTAAAGCACATAAACAAAGAAAAAATGTGTGTGTGTGTGAGAGAGTGAGTGAGTGAGTGAGTGAGTGAGTGAGTTAACAGCTGCAGGTTAAGCACACAACTGATGAGTGCTCCTCGCACACTGTCCACATTTTCTGCAAAAGCGTGCATGCAAGCCTGTGCTTTGGTATGTGCTGTAGGTCACCGCGGTGGTGGTGGAGGAGAAGGCGAAGAGGGAGGACAGAACCGCTCTGCTTCTCATCTGCAGCAGCTGTGGGGGCAGCTCTGGCTTGTTGTGCCTAACTGTTCCCACAAGACACATTTTATTTTGGAGCAGCTCTTCTCCAAGGGTTAGTGATGTGAAAAAAAATTGTCCGTGGTGACAGTGCAGCCGCTCAGTCCCTCGGTGAGCTCCAGCACCACCCGCCTCCCTTGCTCCCTTTCTGCCGGGGCATCTTGCGTCATCTTGCCCAGGTAGGGAATAATCCCCCAGGCATAAGAGGCCACATCGCACACCACCCACAGCTTGATGCCATAGTTTGCCGGCTTTGAGGGCATATACTACCTGGAAGTTGCAGCGACCTCTGAATCCAACGAGCTGTTCATCCGCACACACATCTTCACCGGGGTTTTAGGCAAGAGGGAGCCGGTGTTCTGGGAATTTCTCCTACCCCGTAAACTGTCCTACCCGTTGTTCCTGAGCATGTGCGCGCATGCGCACAACACAAAAAGGAAATGCTACTCCGTTGTCATATTTGCAGGAAAATAGATAAGTAGTAAGTAGTAGTACTTTTTATTGACGTTGATACTTGATTTTTTGAGTTAGGGTTAGGGTTTGTGTCATGTAAAACACCATAAAATTAGCCTACGGGTAGGACGTTTTCTCAGAACACCGGCCCACCCGGAAGTCCCACACCTCCCGGAGGGGAGCGAGCTTGTACTGCTGCACCAACCAGCGTGCTGCCCTCAAGCGGTCATCAAACTGCACTGTTGCCGTCAGCAAATGGAACCTTCGCAGGCTCATTGTGGCTCTGAAAATGGGCCTCTCCGTTTCCTTCCCCAGAGGCTTGCAGTAGATTCCCCCAGGAACGGAGCACCCCCAGCGGGGACGAGCAGCCCAAGGAATGCGCGGAGTTCCACGTCGTCAACACCCGTCCAGCTGTCATACTTTCTCCTCCCCTCTATATTAGTGTGTTTAATTATTATATCAAGGATTGTTCTTGTTAAAAAAAAGTCGAAGCTGTCTGCGAAGCGGCTGATCCCTTGACGGTGGAAGTGTGAGGCCGACAGAGAATCCTGATGTCAGGCGTTGATCTGCGTTCAAATTTCTTCTCATGCTTTCGGCAGAAAGAAATTAATCTGGATCTGAGTCTCATATGTAATTTTAGTCAATTGGTGCACCTGTGTAAACTGACCCCAACTCCAAATAAACAAACTCAGCTCTGCAGGAATTTGTTTTGCAAAACAAGTGTATGTGTAGCGCCAGTGCCCTATACACTGGCACTACCTGGTAGCTGTTGCGGGTGGTCTTTACGTGTGCTTTAAGAAATGCAGCTTGAGTTTATTTCTGATGATGTTTATTACTTGTCTTGTTCCAGAATGTCCAGGATCCATTTACAGCCGTTAAATTGGTTTGCAGTGAATGCGTTACTTGCCCCAATGACAGTCCGCAGAGTCCTTTACATCCAGCCACAGTCCTCGCCACACAGTAAAAAACTGTTTGTCCCATCCAGCCACACCTGAGTCCAATCTGTGTTGCTTAAGTAGGCTGGTGCTTCCACAAGCAATTAACCAATAATATGAGGCGAAGCCTCCTCTCAAGTGCATAAAAAGAAATGACCCATATGGCTCCTACACGCCAGCCCCTAATTGCGCATGGCAGAAGACAAAGCTATTACATAACCTAATAAATCACAGGAGCCATTATGAAACACAAAAAACACCAATACATAATAAAAAGATAAACTTCAACCTCTGTCTTCTCCAGCTCTGCCTTCTTTCCTTCACATGCTTCTCTCAGAGGAACAAACTTATGAGTCCGGTGGTCTAAAACAGGGCAGAGTGAGCAGACACGCGTCTGGTCAGTTCTACAGAACAGCTCCAGAGGTTTATCGTGCTTCTGACACATCCTGTCCTCCAGGTTCTCCACAGGATCCACCAGCTGATGTCTTTTCACATATGAAGCTGTCAGGTGAGGCTCCAGGTGAGTCTCACAGTAGGAGAGCAGACACACCAGGCAGGACTTCAGGGCCTTCAGTCTGGTTCCAGTGCAGACGTCACAGGGAACTTCTCCTGGTTTGGCAGCTTGTTGCTCTGAGCTGCTGCTGGTTTTCTGTTCAACTTCGTGTCTGAACTGATCAACCATCTCTCTGATGAAGGTGTTGACTCTGAGCTGAGTTCTCATGGTAAAAATCTCTTTGCACAGGGGACACTTGTAGAAACTTTCCCCATCCCAGTGTGTGGTGATGCAGGTCTCACAGAAGTTGTGTCCACATGGTGTGCTGGCTCGATCAGTGAACACATCCAGACAGATGGAGCACAGAAACGGATCCTCAGATCTCAGGCTGCTGCCAGCAGACATTGTCTCAACTCGATATCTGAGTCAGTTGTTAAGACAGTTGAGACAGAAACGCACAAATTGGTCTCGACTGCAGCTCCTTCTGACATGCACTGCCACTCCAGCGATGAGGTTGCCAGACGCCTGCCCCAGTGGCAGGACGCTTGCTGCTCCTACCGCTGCGCGCCGCCGCTCCAGCGATGAGGCCGCTCAGTTGACTCAATGCAGAAGTCTCCTGCCCCAATGACAGGATGCCCGCCGCCCCTCTGACGAGCGGTGCTCTGCTCCAGCGATGAGGTTGCTCAGCGGATCCAACGCTGAAACGTCTGTCCCAGTGGCAGTATGGCTAGCTCCTCCTTCCGCTGCGCGCCGCCGCTCCAGCGATGAGGTTGCCAGACGCCTGCCCCAGTGGCAGGACGCTCGCTGCTCCTTCCGCTGCGCAATGCCGCTCCAGCGATGAGGTCGCTCAGCGGTTACAACGCAGAAGTCTCCTGCCCCAATGACAGGATGCCCGCAGCCCCTCTGACGAGCGGTGCTCCTGCTGCGAGTCGCTCTTTCTGCCGCGCACCGCTGCTCCAGCGATGAGGTCGCTCAGCGGATCCAACGCTGAAACGTGAGCCCCAGTGGCAGAACGCCCGCCGTTCTTCCGCCGCGTGCCACCTTTTGCGCTGAGCTGCTTCCTTGATGTGCGCTGGTCTGCCGCCCGCCGCTCCAGCGACGATCCTTCAGATGCGCACCGCTCTCTGACGCGCGCTGACCCTTCAGCGACGAGGCCGCACAGCTGATCCAACGGACACCTCTGCCCCAATGACAGAACGCCCGCCGCTGTCAGCTGATGTGCTGCTCGTTCTACGATGAGGGAAGGACAGCCAGATCCCACGCAGAAACGCCTTCTGTCCCAATGACAGCTGAGCTCGACACTCCGTGCTTCTTTCAGACGCGCCGTTGAAGCGCGCTGTTCCTCCAGCGATCAGCTGGTCCAATTACAATTACGTCTCTGCTGCCTTGATTGCAGAGGACGCCATCCTTCCTTCGCCGACGGGACAGGTTTTTACCTTGAAATGTAGCGCCAGTGCCCTATACACTGGCACTACCTGGTAGCTGTTGCGGGTGGTCTTTACGTGTGCTTTAAGAAATGCAGCTTGAGTTTATTTCTGATGATGTTTATTACTTGTCTTGTTCCAGAATGTCCAGGATCCATTTACAGCCGTTAAATTGGTTTGCAGTGAATGCGTTACTTGCCCCAATGACAGACAGTCCGCAGAGTCCTTTACATCCAGCCACAGTCCTCGCCACACAGTAAAAAACTGTTTGTCCCATCCAGGTACACATATGGCTCCTACAGTACGCCTTTGAAGTTTTTCAGCCTTCATCTTAATGCTTTGTGCTTGTTGAAATAACAATTTGCAAAAGTAAAATTATGAGTATCTGAAATTTTTCAAAAAATCCTTAGTTTTTTTATATATAGCATGCCTTTGATGAATATTCATGATTTCAACAGTGTGCATAAGAACACCCCCCCCCCCACACACACACACACACACACTCCCCTTGCCCACACCTGCACAACCACTCCAAATAATGTTCACAGATCTGTCTTTTGAAGGTTTGTTAAGTGCTTTGATCCCTGCATGCATGCATGCCTGCACAAGCACACACACAGTGACACATGTCAAAATGCCATTTTGAGAATGAGCAGATTTTCTACTTTCAGTAAAGGCTTATTTTTTTAAGGCACACTGTAAAAACACAATTACCAAAAATTCAGAACACACACATGCAAACTATTGTTTGGAATCTCTAAATAACACACAAACCATTTTTTTTGCAAAATATGTATTATAATGGACAGTCAGAGGAAAAGAAATACAGCAGAATCATTAAATTCAAATGCAATGTCAGTCATTGCCCTGCTATATATGGAGAAAATATGCCATCTATTGGAAAATGGTAAACACTAAACACTGAATGTGTGACTGGTCTGGGAACACAGACAGAATAATATATTTTTTTAAACTATGCCAATATTTATGCTATTTAGAAAAATATGATTAACATGAAAGTCAATGGCACAAAAAATGCTTAAATATGCTTAACTGTACAAAATGATTTCCACGTTTTGATAAAGTAGGTAGAATATTTTTCAAACTTTTTTTGTAATTCCTTACAAAATACACATCCTCGATAAAAATTAGATAAATAGAGTAGGTAGAATATTTTTCAAACTTTTTTTGTAATTCCTTACAAAATACACATCCTCGATAAAAATTAGATAAATAGATTAGGTAGAATATTTTTCAAACTTTTTTGTAATTCCTTACAAAATACACATCCTCGATAAAAATTAGATAAATTGCATTAACATAGCCAAAATTATTCACAAAAATACACGTGTCAGCACAAAAAAAATGCTTTAATGTGAGGTAAGGGATATATATGTCAAATATACGTAGAATATTACCTTTAGCAAACTGTATTTTTGCCCATCAGACCTCAGTGAGTGAAGAAAACAAGAGCGTCTGGTGGCCGCACCAAGCATTACATGAGACAATTTCTAAATCAGCACCTTCACAACACTTTTTGTTTTCTTCTCTGAGCTGCTTCAGAAAAAAACAAAACAAACATCAAAGGTTTCTCCCACATTCTTTACAGAAAATGTTTTTCTGAAAATACTTCTCGGTTTGTTTATAGGTCAAGAAATCAAGAGAAAAATAAAATTGGTCACAATGAGTTGATAGAACATCACAAATACAACATTTATTTACTCTTACGTTTGTCAGGGCTTTTGAAGAAACTGTTAAAAAATAATAAAAATGTGTGTTTTATTAGTCCCATTCTGAACACACTGGTGTGTTGTATTCTCCTCCAGCAGGTGGCGCTAGTGCACCTTTACGCTGGTCACCAACAACCCGAGAAAGCAGAAACCGGAAGCTGCTAGCAGAGCTAGCTTGTTGTTGTGGTGTGTGAGGAGAATATTTGAGGCTCTGCAGTAAAAATGTCTTCACTTCAGTCTCTGGGAGAGTTGATCAGCTAAAGCGACTAACTGCTGCTGCTGCAGAAATCTTCTCACCAGGCTGTGGAAACTTTCTTCTCCTCCTCAACAACTTGGTGGAGTTCTTTCCAGAACCGGAGAAGATATTCTGCGGTCTTCGTGTCAATCGGAGCTCCAGAATCAGGTTGTGGGTGAGAAAAGCTTTTCTCTAGACTTCCTGCCCTCTGGATCTGCTGCTGTTCCTTTGGCCTCTCTGAGAAACGCGCTCGTTTTGCTGCTTTCATCAGATTGAAGAGGTTCCCTCTATCAGACTCGCTCATCTGAGTTGGTCATGATGCAGGATCGCTGCTCGCTCTCTGATCCATCCTGCTCACACTCTCCGACGGAAAAGCCCCGAATCTGAATGTGACTCTGGAGGAAAAAGCGGTTAGCTCTACTCCGTGAACTCTGGTGAGCAAAGGTCCTCTTTTCCAGACTGGATCTGTCCTCAGCTGATCAGAACCAAAGCGTTGGATCTTTAATCTCCTGCGTTGTTCTGAAGCAGCATCTTAATCAGCTCTCCTGCTTTGTTTCTATTGCAGCTGTTAGCTAAACACGGCTAAAGAAAACCTGCTACCACTTCAGGATCTGGGACTGATTCATCGTGTGTTCTTCACCACCTGGACCTGGACAGCATGGACACAGGTACTGGTGCACACCAAACCATCAGCACTCCCACATCCATAATCCAGCATCTCTGTACAGATGGTCTCTGCAGACAGACTTCAGTGATGCACAAACACAAGAAAAGCTCATGAAACCAGAAATCAGCTCCATCTCTTCTTTCTGTCAGCGTTCTACCAGTTACCTCATTCCTTCAGTCATGACCACTTAGCTAAGCTAACATGTTTTTATGTTTTATTTTAACCGGACAGTGATAACAGACACTTGTAATGTGTGCAAACTGGGCATTCAGAATGCTGGAAGAGACAGCTGCATGATGAGCAGCCTTCACAACAAACTAGTTCCTCCTCAGTGACGTGCGTTCAGGCTCATGACTGGGGAGGCACCTGCACGTCTCATATGTACAAATATATTAGCCCAGACGAGAGCTAGCATTTTTATTTAGACATTAATTAGAACCTTTGATTGTAACGCTTAAAATGGTCGATTCTCTTCTGTTCAACAATATCATGAAAAACAACAAAATATTTAATAAAAGGTCAATTTTGATTATTTATTTCTTTTTCGGAAGAGGGCAGATAAATTTTTCAGGAAACTTAACTTCTGTGATTTTGACCATAAACATGATGACATCATACAGAAAACTAATGGATTGACCAGTCAGTGGACACTTTTACTTGATATGAGGCCCTGTTCACATGTAGCCGGGGATCTGCCAAAACGTAGATATTTTTCTACGTTTTGGCCTGTCATCCACACGAAAACGGATCTTTTTAAAAACTCCGGCCAAAGTGAAGATCTGCGTTTTCTCTGTTTTGGGTGTCTGCGTGTGGACAGACAAAACCGGAGTTTTAAGGTCCGCAACGTCACTTTCCACGACAAAAAAATGCTGACATCACGTGTGCGACCTGTGTTTACACTAGCCGACAGCATGGATGCCCTCAGAGCTGCGCTCGCTTTATCAATTGTCCAAGCGCTTTCTGCTTGTTTTTTTTTTGCAAGCGGAATTACTGCTCCTTGCGGAAGACCATAGACGAAGGACGAGGTTAAGAACGGGGTAAGTACTGCCACCTACAGGTCTGGCATGTCCTTAACAACGTATTTATCCGGGTACGTGTGGACAGAGTTTTGTTCTAAAACGCGGTGGTGTGGATGCAAGTTTTTGGAGGGGCGGATATTCGTTTTCAAAAAACCCCGGCTACGTGTGGACTAGGCCTTAGTCATTATTAGTATTTTACTTGTCATGATGACAGATGAGGTAGTGCCTCCCCCCGTCCTTTTTTCCAACCTTTATTTTTCCAGGTAAAATGTTTAAGAACATGTTCTCATTTACAAACATGACCTGGCCAAGAGGTCTTGGAAGGAAGTGCAAAGAAAAAAGTATATTAATAATACTACTACTACTACTACTAATAAGGTTCACTTTTTATTTAGTGTGAGGAATGCAGCAGCCAGGCTCCTGCATCAGACTTTGGGTGAGAGTGTTTATGTCTGCTGTGAGGAACAATAAGTGAGCAAAGGGTTGTTTTGGGACTCCAGGTGGTGTTGCCATGAAAGGTGCATGAAAGGTTATGTTGTGTCAATTAGATGGTGAAAAATAGACCTTTTTGTACGTTACACTGTTCTTTACTGTCTGTTTTATTTTATATACTTCTGTTATTTTCACTGCAGTTCCTATAAAAAGTGAAGATGAAGAGAAGCCTCTGTTCTCACAACTTCATCAGCAGCAAATAGAAGACAGAGATGTTCCATCCAGCCGCTCAGCTGACCAGATTAAAGCAGAAACTGGTGGAGGAGCAGAAACTAGCAGGAACCCAGATCTGAACCCTCAAGAACAAACATCTGATTCTTCAGAGACTGAAGTTAGTGGAGATGATGATGATGATGGTGATGATGATGATGATGATGTGAATCTAGATTCTGAACTGCCAAACTCAGGGTCTGAAATTGGAGACAAAAACAATGACTGGAATGAGAGCAGGTCTTTTCAGTCAGAAGTTAAGACAGTCAACAAATCCTTTAGCTGCCCTGAGTGTGGTAAATTATTTCCCCATAAGCGGTCTCTCCAGAAACATGTGAGAGTGACAAGTCATTCAGCAATATGCTCTTCAGGCTTTTTGATTAATAATAAAAGTGTTGGAGTGAAGCAACATCTAGACTCAGATAGGAAAGTTCAGAAAGATCTAAAATCATTTAGATGTGACGACTGTGGAAAAATATTTAGTATAAAATCCCAATTAAACAAACACATAAGAGTCCACACAGGACAGAAAGCTTTTGCCTGTGAGCTTTGTGGACAAAGATTTAGATGGAAGGGAAATTTAAGCGAACACATGAGAGTTCACACAGGACAGAAACCTTTTCCCTGTGAGTTCTGTGGAAAAAGCTTTAGGTTGAAGGGAGATTTAAACAAACACATAAGAGTTCACACAGGACAGAAACCTTTTGTCTGTGAGCTCTGTGGAAAAAGATTTAGCCGTAAGTCAACTTTAAATGATCACATGAGCGTCCACACAGGAGAGAAGCCTTTTGCTTGTGAGCTCTGTGCACAAAGATTTAGCCTGAAGTCAAGATTGAACCTTCACTTGAAACGCCACACAGGACAGAAGCCTTTTGTCTGTGAGCTCTGTGGAAAAAGCTTTAGATTGAAGGGAGATTTAAAGAAACACATAAGAGTTCACACAGGACTGAAACCTTTTGACTGTGAGCTCTGTGGAAAACGATTTAGCCGTGAATCGTTTTTAAATGATCACATGAGCATTCACACAGGAGAGAAGCCTTTTGTCTGCGAGCTCTGTGGTCAAAGCTTTAGAGGGAAGGGAACTTTAAACAGACACATGAGAATCCACACAGGAGAGAAGCCATTTCCATGTGAGCTCTGTGGTCAAAGATTTAGCCTGAAGTCAAATTTAAACAGTCACATGAGAGTCCACACAGGACAGAAGCCTTTTGTCTGTGAGCTCTGTGACCAAATGTTTTCTCAAACGTCAAGTTTAACCAGACACATGAGAGACCACACAGAACAAAAACCTTTTGTCTGTGAGCTTTGTGGGAAAAGATTTAGCCGTAAGTCAACTTTAAACAGACACATGAGAGTCCACACAGGAGAGAAGCCATTTCCATGTGAGCTCTGTGGTCAAAGATTTAGCCTGAAGTCAACTTTAAACAGTCACATGAGAGTCCACACAGGACAGAAGCCTTTTCCCTGTGAGCTCTGCGGAAAAAGATTTAGCCAACAGACAAATTTAAATAATCACATGAGAGTCCACACAGGACAGAAGCCTTTTGTCTGTGAGCTCTGTGACCAAATGTTTTCCCAAAAGACAAGTTTAACCAGACACATGGGAGACCACACAAGGACAGAACGAACTAATGTAAAAACACAAGTCCAAAAATGATTGTAGTTTGTACATCCTAGTTCCATGTGTTGCACCCCTGGTTGTTGTCCTGGATCAGAGTTGCTTCCAGCCCATGAGCCACCTCTCCCTGTCCTGCAAGCATGGATGTAATTTTCACTTTAGAGGTGAGGGGGGCACGGGGAGGTGGTATCTTTACAGTATGTTCTAATGGGAAACAGGCTTCAACACAAACGGTTGTTTTCCGCTTGGTCCTAGAACTCAACCAGTGTCAATTTAATATAGCGTAATGTTGTTTTTGGATGGTAAAAAGTGCAGGGGTCAAAACTTGACTTTGGAAAAAGTGGGGGGGACATGTCCCCCCTGCCCCCCCCCCCCAAAATTACGTCCATGCCTGCAAGCCACATTTTGTGGCCACTAAGCTGTAATTATTTCACTAAATCTCTGTTTCCATTGTGATGCAGCACAGTATTGTTACACAATGATGAGCAGCTAGATCAGAGTTTTGGAGCGTTGTCGTAGAGAGAGTAGCATGGCGTGTCTACTCTGCTTTTAAATAGTTTGTGTAGTGTACAAATAATTGTCTTTTACCAGTGGTTTGCACTTTGTGAGTTGCAAAAATATAACTACAGATCTCTTCAGGTGTTCATCAAGTGGTTCCAGGATTGGGCCCTGCTACGTGATCAGATGACAGTCCAACGTTTTCATAACTTTTCACACATTCAGCAAATTTAGACAGTTTCCTGTTGTTTACAGACGTGGGTCTTGTGTTTGAACCTAGCATTTAGAAACTATGATTGTGAAGCAAAACAAGAGAGGGCTGTCAATCAAACAAAAGTGAAGAACACTGTCTGTCTTTCTGATGAAATCAGGATTAATTCCTTCTAAAAAATGGTGTTTGGAGTATGCTTGCGCAGGATTACCGAATTACCGTATACGGCCAGTGTTAAAAAATAGCAACGGTGTTAGTTCCAATACTGTCATGAAAAAAATAATACACGTAGGAGACGAGGATTAAAATAATTAAAAGTAACCTAATGTATAAAACGGATGCATGGTTCAATTGCAAGTTTTACACAAATAGTTAGAGAGAGAGCGAGCGAGAGAGAGCGAGAGAGAGAGAGAGAGAGAGAGAGAGAGAGAGAGAGAGAGAGAGAGAGAGAGAGAGAGAGAGAGAGAGAGAGAGAGAGAGAGAGAGAGAGAGAGAGAGAGAGAGAGAGAGAGAGAGAGAGAGAGAGAGAGAGAGAGAGAGAGAGAGAGAGAGAGAGAGAGAGAGAGAGAGAGAGAGAGAGAGAGAGAGAGAGAGAGAGAGAGAGAGAGAGAGAGAGAGAGAGAGAGAGAGAGAGAGAGAGAGAGAGAGAGAGAGAGAGAGAGATCTTTCCTATAGCGCCTCTCAAGATAGCGAGGCGCACAAGGCGCGTCACAATAACAACAAATGTAAAAATATAAAAAAGAATGTAGAAAATGATTAAAATATATTTAAAATGAGCAAGAAATAGACACTTGTGAGTAAAAAATGTAAAGAATGAGAGAGAGTGAATAGGAAAGAGGGAAATCAGTGGATCCTGAGGAAGAGGAGAGAAAGAGGGAAAAAAAATAAACCCAAGCAGAGGCAGTGACCGACAGCACGAGCCGTTCTATTTCGTATAGCTCCGCTCTTTAAGCCATGCCTATTGGATTAATCCCATCCCCCTTAACCAATCATTGAAGAGCTTTTATGTACCCGCCTCCAAGGCGGGTCCTGACCCCATAAAAGGGCCCAGCGAGCATAGCTCGTCTCCTTTTTCATCTTCAAACAACTAAATAATTTGAATGAGCTTAAACTATCCTATTGTTCAAGCACATGTCCGACAATCCTGTCAGTTTGTGCTCCCCAGGATTTACACGGCAAGAACAACCTACTGAAAAGTGTCATGTCCAGCGGAGTCGTTCATCTTCTCCACCGGACAGGTAATGTCTCCTACGCCATTCCTGCCATGAGAGAGCTACTTCGTTAGCTAGTTGCTAGGCTTTCTGTTCCCGCGCCCATGCTGCATAAGTCGAATGTCTTATTGGCCAACACGGCGCTGTCCAGTTTTGCTGCTCCTGTCCAGTTATTACTCGGCTCCCAGCAGCTCTGGCTTACTGGAACATTAGGAGTTTTACTTAGCTTCGCCTTTTTCTGAAGCTGGTTGTTTGGTGTGCTACTTCCACCTCCAAACACGGATGGTGACGCAGCTCTTCGCTGTGCCCATGTTCTGCAGCTGTCTCCGCTGACAGCAGGACTGCTGAAGCGCGTGACTCGAATCTGTGCTCTGCTGCTTTGTCTATGCTTCCCGGACCCCGGCTAGCAGACGCCGGTTCAGTCAGCTCGGACGTGCTGTGTGAACTGCAGTATTGCAGCGCTTTTGAGACCACAGCAACCGGCAGTGGTTACCAATATTCAGGTGTCTAGCTGGCCCGCACTCCCTGCCCACCAACATGACTCTTTGGGGAGGTGTGAGTGGTTATCTTCATGTTCAAGTCATAAGTGGAGGATTTTGAAACAGTGTTTTCATCAGATGGTTCTGTTGAGCACTTTGTCGTGGTCTCCCACACGTCTCCCACGCCTAAAGCCCATGGGTTAGCTACAGCTGCTAACTGCTTTAAGGCTGAGGGACGACGCGCTAACAAGGAACACACTTCCTTCGTTTAGCTGTCGAACCCTCCACACACAAATCTTATGTGTGAACGTGATATTAAACAAGAGCTCCGTGGCAAGCAATGCGGTCTGCTGATGAGGCAGTGATCATTCGCCAGAGGCGACCTCTCATGCTCCCACACTCACCAAGAAGGCTGCTATGTTCCTTCCTGCATCGTCGGTTCTTGCGCTCGCGCGCTACAGCCGAGCTTATGGCCCATCCATCATCTGCAGATGACATGGGCCTCCCGCCCTCCACCGACATCCTTGGGTCGCCCCTCCCTTCTGTGGAGGTGCCAGTCTACAGTAAGGGCTGAGGATGTCTCGTGTGCGTGCGTCAGAGCTTACAGCCTTACCATCCTGAAAAAAAAACAGATCTCATCTGATATTTGTAGCAATCCAGGGTAGGGCTTGGTCCGCTTGGGAATACCAGGTGCTGTAACCCAGCCTCCGCCCACGCGGCTCCTCTCTCATCATGCCCAGGCATGGGCGCATGGATACTCAGTATCTACATGGTCAGGCTCCAGTATCGGTATTGCCCTTCTCCATTTGCTGGGACAGTGGTGACCAAACTGACATCAGCTCAGTCTCACCCTCAGTTCAGAACTACTGGGAAAGCCGGGAGGAATCAAGCCTATTCTCGATCTTTCCGCTTCGAGGCAGTAAGACACTTATGCCTGTTGACCATCTGACAGGTTCTGAGTTATGTGTATCCAGGCGATCAGTTCACCTGCATCAACCTGAGAGAGGCCGATTTTCACATTCCGGTGATCCCAAAACACAGGAGATTCCTGCATTTTTCCTTCATCGGAGCTCAGTTTCAGTGCAACATACTTCCTCTCGGGTACTCCCTTGCACCGTGTGCCTCAAGGTGGCGCTCCAACCAATATGCACCAAGGGCATGAACTCCGGGATCATGGAAGAGCACTTGTCATTGGGGACATCTCCATAGTCCACAGGAGCACCTTGGCTTAGGTTAAGGGAGAAGCTACGTCCATAACATCATTTAAGGACTTCAGGTATTGAGTTTTTCCTTTTCAGTTCCTGGAGAACTCTTATGTGTGAAGACTGTTTTTAATGCTTTTTAGCTTTAATGGAGTTTAGGAACATTTACTGACAAATGAAATCTGTTTAGCTTCACCTCAACTAATGAAGAATTTCTAGAGGTGCGTGAAAAAAAACCGAATCTCAATTCTTATTTAGAAAGATTCTGAATCGATTCTGTCTGAAAGCTTTAATGTAAACTGCTGTTTCCGAGCATCCTTGAAGGCATCATCGCTGGAGCGCTAGCTGTGCTCCTACGCTGCAACCTGCTGAAATACGTCAGACTAACTTTTATTATTGTCCTGTGTACTTTTATGAGTCAAGCAGGAAGTTCCATTGTGTTTTATATGTTTGAGCGTTGCTTCATGCTGACTGCACCGTGTATAATTCACTCTTGTTAAGACTAATAGTGTCTGATCAGTGATACATGTAACTGGTCTATGTGAACACGTGCTACTGGATGGTATAAAAGCTGTTTATTAGTTTAAGACGTTTCACATAAACTGACATCTCGTTTCCCCAATTCTTCACACCACACACACACACCACACACACACACACACACACACACACACACACACACGTTCTAGTCTAGAGTTCAGAGCGGTTCTGGTTCAGTCCGCTGTTGGATCATCAACACTTGACAGGAGACATGATGGTCTTTCATACAGAATGTCTCGTGTCTTCATCTGTCTAGGGCTGTTATGATGGTTTTATTTTTGAATCATTTGAACATTAAATGTTCTCTGCAGACCTGTTAGTGTCCTCCATCATTCAGGTGTTATGAGTGTGTTCTGTTGTCCTTCTGGGTAAAGCAGCAGTTACAGGATGGTGGAGATTTCTTTTAATCGTTGATTTTACCTATTTTTATTTTCTATCCTTTATTTTAATGAGATGAGTTTGTTTCACATAGATTACAGTTTACTCTGCTACTAAGTGTTGTTCTAGATCTTAGCAATGATGTTTATGCTTCATTATTTGTTTCTTCTTCTTGTAATAAAACTTAAACTTTGCTGGCTGAATCCAGAAGTGTTTTCTCTTTAAGTCTCTGATCAAATCCCACAACACCACACATGGCTCCATCCCACAAATCTCCAACTACAAGAAGCTATCCTATCAATATGAGGCAACATTTCTGAAGAATGCTTTCAGCACCTTGTTGAATCAATGCCACGTAGATTTAAGGCAGTTCTGAAGGTACAAGGGGCTCAAACATGATGCAACATGAATGGCCTCATTTGTGACCCAAAGGTCACACTTCCCCAGCTGGGTCACGCTGTCCTGGCTGAACTTCTATCCACAGATTATTCGTTACAGGAGACATAAAGTCTGCTAAACCATCTTTAACCTGTCTGCTGTTCCATCCCAAGATGAAGGACACTTCAAGATTTTAAATAATCATTTTTAATAAACTCTTTTCACTGTTTATTACAAGGTTAATAAATAATCATTATGGTTCATTATAAATGTATTTAATCACTGGAATGACTTATTATTCTTTGGTTAATAATAATTATTATTTATGTTTATGTTTATTTATTTAGCAGACGCTTTTATCCAAAGCGATTTACAATTCATAACCTATAGGGCATGTTGTGATCTGAGGGGGAAACCGGAGTACCCGGAGGAAACTCACGCATGCATGGAGAGAACACTCAACTCCACGCAGAAAGGACGCAGCCGAGTTTCGAACCTGCAACCTTCGAGGTTAGCACTGTTGCTAACCACTGCGTCACCATGCAGCCTTTATTTATAATAATCAGTGTTTTATTAGTCCCATTCTGAACACACAGGTGTGTTTTATTCTGTTCCTGCAGATGGCGCTAGTGCACCTTTACGCTGGTCACCGACCACCCGAGAAAGCAGAAACCGGAAGCTGCTAGCAGAGCTAGCTTGTTGTTCTGGTGTGTGAGGAGAATATTTGAGGCTCTGCAGTAAAAATGTCTTCACTTCAGTCTCTGGGAGAGTTGATCAGCTAAAGCGACTAACTGCTGCTGCTGCAGAAATCTTCTCACCAGGCTGTGGAAACTTTCTTCTCCTCCTCAACAACTTGGTGGAGTTCTTTCCAGAACCGGAGAAGATATTCTGCGGTCTTCGTGTCAATCGGAGCTCCAGAATCAGGTTGTGGGTGAGAAAAGCTTTTCTCTAGACTTCCTGCCCTCTGGATCTGCTGCTGTTCCTTTGGCCTCTCTGAGAAACGCGCTCGTTTTGCTGCTTTCATCAGATTGAAGAGGTTCCCTCTACCAGACTCGCTCATCTGAGTTGGTCATGATGCAGGATCGCTGCTCGCTCTCTGGTCCATCCTGCTCACACTCTCCGACGGAAAAGCCCCGAATCTGAATGTGACTCTGGAGGAAAAAGCGGTTAGCTCTACTCCGTGAACTCTGGTGAGCAAAGGTCCTCTTTTCCAGACTGGATCTGTCCTCAGCTGATCAGAACCAAAGCGTTGGATCTTTAATCTCCTGCGTTGTTCTGAAGCAGCATCTTAATCAGCTCTCCTGCTTTGTTTCTATTGCAGCTGTTAGCTAAACACGGCTAAAGAAAACCTGCTACCACTTCAGGATCTGGGACTGATTCATCGTGTGTTCTTCACCACCTGGACCTGGACAGCATGGACACAGGTACTTGTGCACACCAAACCATCAGCACTCCCACATCCATAATCCAGCATCTCTGTACAGATGGTCTCTGCAGACAGACTTCAGTGATGCACAAACACAAGAAAACATCAACATCGGCTCCTGAAACCAGAAATCAGCTCCATCTCTTCTTTCTGTCAGCGTTCTACCAGTTACCTCATTCCTTCAGTCATGACCACTTAGCTAAGCTAACATGTTTTTATGTTTTATCTTAACCGGACAGTGATAACAGACACTTGTAATGTGTGCAAACTGGGCATTCAGAATCATGACTGGGGAGGCACCTGCACGTCTCATATGAAGAAGAAGAAGAAAATATCATTTCTATAGCGCCTCTCAAGATAAAAATCACGAGGCGCTTCACAAAAACAAACAAAAAAATATTAAAATATAAAAAAGCATTTAGAAAATGTTTAAAAATATATTTAAAATGAGCAAAAATATGCAATTGGGATTTAAAAGAAAAAATGTTAATAAGATAAGATAAGATAAGATGACCTTTATTAGTCCCACAAGTGGGAAATTTGTTTCGTTTACAGCCAAGTAAAAGCAAAGTAAAAGTAAAAGTTATGCAGCAGAGGGAGAAAAACACTAAAATACAATAAGATCGATTGCAATGAGATAAAATAAAGTCAATACAATAGACAATTTATACCTTAAGAACGGGTTAAAAAATAATAACCATACTAGATACAGCTAGAAATACAGAGTACACTTCATCCAACAGATTTGTTGTAAAGTCTGACAGGAGTGGGGAGGAAAGACCTACGGAATCTCTCTGTCCCACACCTTGGGTGCCGCAGTCTCCCACTAAAGGAGCTGCTCATAGCTGTCAAAGTCACCTGCATGGGATGGGAGATATTATCCAACATGGATGACAGTTTAGCTGTCATTCTCCTGTCACTCACCACCTCCACAGGGTCCAGGGGGCATCCTAGAACAGAACTGGCCCTGCGGATCAGTCTGTTCAGTCTCTTCCTATCCCCCGCAGAGATGCTTGCGCCCCAGCAGACCACACCATAAAAGATGGCCGAGGCCACCACAGAGTCATAAAAGGTCTTCAGGAGAGGGCCCACAACTCAAAATGACCTCAGTCTCCGTAGTAGGTACAGCCTACTCTGCCCTTTTCTGTTCAGGTCATCTGAATTATGAGTCCAGTCCAGTTTATTGTTCAGATGGACCCCAAGGTACCTGTAACTGTCCAGTCTCAATGTCCATGCCCTGTATGCTCAATGGTTGAAGCGAGGAATGCTTATGCCTACGAAAGTCTACCACCAGCTCCTTAGTTTTGCTGGCATTAATCTGTAGATAGTTCAACTGGCACCAGTCCACAAAATCCTGAGTCAGTCTCCTGGACTCCTTGTCATCCCCATCCTTGATGAGACCTACAATCGCAGAGTCATCCGAGAACTTCTGCAAGAAGCACTGAGTAGAGTCATAGGAGAAGTCCGCAGTATAGATGGTAAAAAGGAACGGAGTCAGAACCGTTCCCTGGGGGGAGTGAGAGAGAGTGAATAGGAAAGAGGGAGGTGGGGAGAGCAGAATAAAGAGAGAGTGGTGAAGAAGGTCATACAAAAGCCAGCTTGAACAGGTGAGTCTTCAGCTGCTTTTTGAAGGAGACCACTGAGTCCACTGATCTCAGGCTCAGGGGGAGAGAGTTCCAGAGTCTGGGGGCCACAGCAGCAAATGATCTGTCACCTTTGACCTTTAGTCTGGTGCTGCACAACCAGTAGGCTTTGACCACTGGACCTCAGGGACCTGTTGGGGGTGTAGGGACTGAGAAGATCACCAATGTAAGATGGTGCTTGTCCATGTAAGGCCCTATAGACCAGAACCAGGATGTTGAAATGAACCCTGAAGTTGACTGGCAGCCAGTGAAGCTGGAGGAGAAGCGGGGTGATGTGGGTGTGTTTGGAGGACTTGGTCAGAAGCCGAGCACAGGCGTTCTGAACCACCTGTAGACGGTTCAGGGAGGTTCTGCTCAGACACGTGAAAAGAGAGTTACAGTAGTCTAACCCCAAAATTCCACTACCTGCGCTGCGCTCCGGCACGAACTCCGCAGCAAATTCGGTCCCGTTGTAGTCAATCAGAGCTGTTCCACTACTGCGGCCGTGCAGCGCAGTGCGCCACCCGCCGTTCAGCCATCCAGCAAAAATAGGATCGATTCTATTTTTGCCGGACGCCGGAGCACCTCCGCAGTCAATGGACAGGAATCACAACCGCCCAACAGGAAAGGGAGCAAGCACAACTTCCGTTATTTCACAATAAATCGATAAACAAAAAGCGTTTTTTGTTTCAGATGCACAGGTTTAACAACTTTTATCAACTATCAATGGCGGCTGAACTTTAAATGCACAAAAATAAGCCATAAATAGTTTCCACTATCAAAGTAGCCACCCTTTGTTGATCCAAACACTGCTGATCTCTCAACACAAATGATGGGCAGATTAAACAGTTCATTTCGATGCTTCTCCCACACAACGGGTGTTTGGATCTAACTTCCGCGTTTACTGCTCGGACTGTATCGCAAGATCTCGAAAATCCCACGCATGCCTGTTTACGCACCTCAGGTCTCCGCACCGGAGCGGAGCCGTTGTAGAGCGGGTACCAGTAAAAATTGAGTTTGGAAGCGAGCGGGGGCGGAGCGGAGGTAGTGGAATCTTGGGGTAAAAGTGAGGAGATGAAGGTGTGGAGAACTGTCTCAAGTTCAGAGCGAGACAGAATGGGACTCAGCTTAGCAACGTTCCTGAGATGGAAGAAGGAAGAGCGAACAAGAGAACTGACATGAGAATCCAGGGTGAGAGCTGGGTCAAAGGTCACGCCAAGATTCCTGACAGAAGGTTTGGTGTGGGAAGCAAGCTGACCAAGAGAGTCTCTGACTTTGGGAACCAGCTTGTCTGGGGCACAGATGAGGATCTCAGTCTTATCTTCATTCAGCTGAAGAAAGCTCCCACCATCCAGGTTTTGATAGTCTAAGCAGGTGTGTAACAGCTGCAGCTTAGACATCTCATGGGGCTTAAAGGAGATTTACAGTTGGATGTCATCTGCATAAAGATGGTAGGAGATTCCTTTGAAGGAGCTCAGGATGTGCTGAAGAGGAAGCAGATAGAGGAGGAAGAGCAGAGGCCCCAGCACAGAACCTTGTGGGACACCATGGGTAAGAGAGGTGGTGGAGGACCTAAACTTGGAGACGGCCACAGAAAAGGAGCTCTCAGAGAGATAAGAGGAGAACCACTCCAGAGCAGTTCCTGATAGGCCTACCCAGTCTCTCAGCCTCTCCAGCAGCAGGTGATGGCCAACTGTGTCAAAGGCTGCAGTCAGGTCCAACAGGACCAGAACAGAACAGTCCCCTGCATTAGGGCTGGGCGATATGGCAAAAATAGAATATCACGATTTTTCCAATATTTTATCACGATTTCGATTTTATCACGATTTTTTATCCATGAATAGCATAACTTCAATTGCGTATTAAAGAAGAGAAACATTGAATAAATAAACATTTATTCATATTAGGGATAATCAACACAGTGCTAACACACTTATATTTTAAACTCACACCAGAGATGATAAAAGCCCTGAGAGAAACAATTACAAAAATCTGTTTTTCTCGTTTTTCAAGTAACTTAACATAAATTAAAATCGTAAACATATTTAAAGTGCAAACATGTCAATTGCAAACGTATTGTGCAAACATTAACTTGTTCAAAATACTATGTAGCTCCCAGTTGCTCATGTAGTGGATAGTTAAGCTCAAATACGGCTCTGATGTGCGGCTGGACCAGAGATCGCTCGTGGTAGCAAAAAACTGCGCATTCTGAATATTTTCTGCAACAAGTCTCTAAATAAAGTAAAATTTTCCAGTGCAGATTGGAGACAACCCATAGAAGCACTGATTTGATCTCATTTCAGAGATAAATAGAACAGGCTAGATGCACCTAATAAATATAATTACTAACAAACTCAGGAATCTTTCTTTGCTTCACTGTTCTGGTGCTGAAAATATCACTAATGCGGATCAAAGGAGATACACAGATGAGTGCACCTCTTATTATTTGGACACTACATTTACTGCAGCTGGCAGAGATTGTTTCTATTGATACACGGAGTTTACAGAATCATTTTAAATGTTAATAGGGGAAGACTGCAGGAGGAGCGGTAAAATACAGGGGGTCCCCAGCAAAAACAAGAAACTACGAGTCTGATGAAACCCGCTGGTTTTCCATCAGGCAGTCACGGGGCAGCTCCAAGGACCCAGTGACCGAGCTCAGTCCGGTACCGACACCGGCTCGGCAGAGGGTGAACGAGCCGAGGCGACGTCGTGCTTTGCTTAAGAAGCGGTGTTATTTTCCTGCTTCAGAAGAAGCGTCCAACGTGTTTTTACGCTTTCTCCGAGACATGTCACCTCGCTAAGTTATTAGCGCCGCGCGCTAAGGAAACCCTGCGTTCCTCTTCGGAACGAAAACCTTGTTGTCGCTCTCAGCCGCGGCCGAAGCCACGTTTGTTCACTGCGGGGCACTAATATATTACTATGACTCACTCTGATTGGTTAAGGGTCAAACAAAGGCGTGTCATTCGCCTGAGGTAAGTTCCCTTTTCATTCAGAGGCAGAAATTCAACAGCAGAGCTGTGAATCGTGATAAAACGGTCTCTCAAAAATGACAGACCGTCAGATGTGTAGATCGTAAAACGGTCTAAAATCGTCATATCGCCCAGCCCTACCCTGCATCACTGTGAGTCAGAAGGTCATTAGAGACCCTAAGAAGAGCTGTTTCAGTAGAATGAGCTCTACGAAAACCTGACTGGAAGCTATCATAGATGTTCTGTTCATCAAGAGCAGCTGTGAGTTGTTTAGCCACAACCTTTTCCAAGATCTTGGAGATGAACGGAAGTTTAGAGATGGGTCTGAAGCTGCTATGGAGAGAGGGGTCGAGACTCGGTTTTTTAAGAAGCGGGTGGATTACAGCGTTCTTAAAGTAAGCAGGGATCTGACCAGAAACCAGAGAAGCATTAATTATAGAGAGCACGCTGGGACCGATGGACTGAAAAGCACTTTTAAACAAAGATGAGGGTAAGATGTGGAGGGGGCATGCAGAGGTCTTCATAGAGTTAACTAGTTTGGTTAACTCAGGCAAAGAAACAGGAGCAAAGCTATCTAGGATGATGGGCCTGGTTGGAGTCGGGAGAGGCAGCAATAAGGCTGAAGGAGAGATGCTAGATCTAACCTTACTGACTTTGTCCACAAAGAAAGACAGAAAGTTCTCACAGTCTGCAACAGAGTGGATGGAGGCTGTAGGAGAGGCAGGAGACACGATGCTGCTGATGGTGTTAAACAGCACCTTGGGGTTCCCTTTGCTCTGGGACACCAGGTTGGAGAAATAGGAAACCCTGGCATCTCTGACTGCAGAGTTAAAGGATGACAGAAGATCCTTTAGGTGCAGCAGATGGACGTGGGGATGGGTTTTCTTCCACAAGCACTCAATTTTTCTGCGTTGGCGCTTCAGGCTGCAAAGTTTGTCATTAAACCAGGGAGTAGGGTTCACTGCAGGAACTGATCTGGTTCTGACAGGACAGATGTTGTCCAGAATGGAGAGGCAGTGCTCGTTAAACTGAGAAGTTAAGAAATCTGGGTCATTATCAGAAGAACAGGGTGGATCAAAAGCAGCAGAAAAATTGCTAGCTGTGCTCTCATTAAGAAAACGAGAACCAACCATACGGCGAGCAGGAGGTGGGGACGCAGAAACTGACAAGTTAAAGAAAATGCAATGGTGATCTGAAATATAAACGTCCTCAGGACAAACACTGTCAGCATTTAGACTCAGGGTAAAAACAAGGTCCAGAGTGTGCCCCCTGGTGTGCGTGGGGCCAGAAACATGCTGGGTAAAGCTGAAGGAGTCCATGAGGCTGGAGAAATTCATGGCAAAGAGGTCAGAGGGATCATCAACGTGGATGTTAAAGTAGGGCTGGGCGATATGACGATTTTAGACCGTTTTACGATCTACACATCTGACGGTCTGTCATTTTTGAGAGACCGTTTTATCACGATTCACAGCTCTGCTGTTGAATTTCTGCCTTTGAATGAAAAGGGAACTTACCCCAGGCGAATGACACACCTTTGTTTGACCCTTAACCAATCAGAGTGAGTCATAGTAATATATTAGTGCCCCGCTTGTTTTCACCTTCACCTGTGTGTGAACAAACATGGCTTCGCCGCGGCTGAGCGACAACGAGGTTTTCGTTCCGAAGAGGAACGCAGGGTTTCCTTAGCGCGCGGCGCTAACAACTTAGCGACGTGACATGTCTCGGAGAAAGCGTAAAAACACGTTGGACGCTTCTTCTGAAGCAGGAAAATAACACCGCTTCTTAAGCAAAGCACGACGTCGCCTCGGCTCGTTCACCCTCTGCCGAGCCGGTGTCGGTACCGACTGAGCTCGGTCACTGGGTCGATGGAGCTGCCCCGTGACTGCCTGATGGAAAACCAGCGGGTTTCATCAGACTCGTAAAGTTTCTTAGGGACCTCTTTATTTTACCGCTCCCTCCTGCAGTCTTCCCCTATTAACATTTAAAATGATTCTGTAAATCCGTGTATCAATAGAAACAATCTCTGCCAGCTGCAGTAAATGTAGTCTCCAAATAATAAGAGGTGCATTCATCTGTGTATCTCCTTTGATCCGCATTAGTGATATTCTCAGCACCAGAACAGTGAAGCAAAGAAAGAATCCTGAGTTTGTTAGTAATTTTATTTATTAGGTGCATCTAACCTGTTCTATTTTTCTCTGAAATGAGATCAAATCAGTGCTTCTATGGGTTGTCTCCAATCTGCACTGGAAAATTTTACTTTATTTAGAGACTTGTTGCAGAAAATATTCAGAATGCGCAGTTTTTTGCTACCACGAGCGATCTCTGGTCCAGACGCACATCAGAGCCGTATTTGAGCTTAACTATCCACTACATGAGCAACTGGGAGCTACATAGTATTTTGAACAAGTTAATGTTTGCACAATACGTTTGCAATTGACATGTTTGCACTTTAAATATGTTTACGATTTTAATTTATGTTAAGTTACTTGAAAAACGAGAAAAACTGATTTTTGTAATTGTTTCTCTCAGGGCTTTTATCATCTCTGGTGTGAGTTTAAAATATAAGTGTGTTAGCACTGTGCTGATTATCCCTAATATGAATAAATGTCTATTTATTCAATGTTTCTCTTCTTTAATACGCAATTGAAGTTATGCTATTCATGGATAAAAAAAATCGTGATAAAATCGAAATCGTGATAAAATATTGGAAAAATCGTGATATTCTATTTTTGCCATATTGCCCAGCCCTATGTTAAAGTCACCAACAATCACCAGTCTGGACAGCTTCACAGTGGAGGATAGAAAGTCACTAAACTCCTGAAGGAAAGAACTGTTTGGACCAGGTGGACGATAGACCACAGCACAGTAGAACGGGTCCTTACGCCCGACTTTAATCAGCTGCAGTTCAAAGGAAGCAAAGTGACCAGAGGTTGTAGAGCTACATGGAAGATGGTCTCTGAAAACAACAGCTAGGCCTCCACCACGACCAGAACCCTGGGGCTGGCTAAGAAAAGAATAACCACTTGTATATGTACAAATATATTAGCCCAGACGAGAGCTAGCATTTTTATTTAGACATTAATTAGAACCTTTGACTGTATAACTTAAAATGGTCGATTCTCTTCTGTTCAACAGTATCGTGGAAAACAAAAAAATATTTAATAAAAGGTCAATTTGGATTATTTATTTCTTTTTGGGAAGAGGGCAGATTTATTTTTCAGGAAACATATAAATTCTGCGATTTTGACCACAAACAAGATGACATCATACAGAAAACTAATGTATAGACCAGTCAGTGGACACTTTTACTTGATATTAGTCATTATTAGTATTTTACTTGTCATGATGACAAAGGAGGCAGTGCCCCTCCCCCGCCTTTTTTCCCAACCTTTATTTTTCCAGGTAAAATGTTTAAGAACATGTTCTCATTTACAAACATGACCTGGCCAAGAGGTCTTGGAAGGAAGTGCAAAAAAAAAAAGTATATTATTAATAATAATAATAATAAGGTTCACTTTTTATTTAGTGTGAGGAATGCAGCAGCCAGGCTCCTGCATCAGACTTTGGGTGAGAGTGTTTGTGTCTGCTGTGAGGAACAATAAGTGAGCAAAGGGTTGTTTTGGGACTCCAGATGGTGTTGCCATGAAAGGTGCATGAAAGGTTATGTTGTGTCAATTAGATGGTGAAAAATAGACCTTTTTGTATGTTACACTGTTCTTTACTGCCTGTTTTATTTTATATACTTCTGTTATTTTCACTGCAGTTCCTATAAAAAGTGAAGATGAAGAGAAGCCTCTGTTCTCACAACTTCATCAGCAGCAAATAGAAGACAGAGATGTTCCATCCAGCCGCTCAGCTGACCAGATTAAAGCAGAAACTGGTGGAGGAGCAGAAACTAGCAGGAACCCAGATCTGAACCCTCAAGAACAAACATCTGATTCTTCAGAGACTGAAGTTAGTGGAGATGATGATGATGATGATGATGATGATGATGATGATGATGATGTGAATCTAGACTCTGAACTGCCAAACTCAGGGTCTGAAATTGGAGACAAAAACAATGACTGGAATGAGAGCAGGTCTTTTCAGTCAGAAGTTAAGACAGTCAACAAATCTTTTAGCTGCCCTGAGTGTGGTAAATTATTTCCCCATAAGCGGTCTCTCCAGAAACATGTGAGAGTGACAAGTCATTCAGCAATATGCTCTTCAGGCTTTTTGATTAATAATAAAAGTGTTAGAGTGAAGCAACATCTAGACTCAGATAGGAAAGTTCAGAAAGATCTAAAATCATTTAGATGTGACGACTGTGGAAAAATATTTAGTGTAAAATCCCAATTAAACAAACACTTGAGAGTCCACACAGGACAGAAAGCTTTTGCCTGTGAGATCTGTGGACAAAGATTTAGCCGTAAGTTAACTTTAAATGATCACATGAGAGTCCACACAGGAGAGAAGCCATTTCCATGTGAGCTCTGTGGTCAAAGATTTCGCCTGAAGTCAACTTTAAACAGTCACATGAGAGTCCACACAGGACAGAAGCTTTTTGTTTGTGAGCTTTGTGGAAAAAGATTTAGCCGTAAGTTAACTTTAAACACACACATGAGAGTCCACACAGGACAGAAGCCTTTTCCCTGTGAGCTCTGTGGAAAAAGATTTAGATTGAAGGGAGATTTAAACAAACACATAAGAGTCCATACAGGACAGAAGCTTTTTGTCTGTGAGCTTTGTGGAAAAAGATTTAGCCGTAAGTCAACTTTAAATGATCACATGAAAGTCCACACAGGAGAGAAGCCATTTCCATGTGAGCTCTGTGGTCAAAGATTTCGCCTGAAGTCAACTTTAAACAGTCACATGAGAGTCCACACAGGACAGAAGGTTTTTGTCTGTGAGCTTTGTGGAAAAAGATTTAGCCGTAAGTCAACTTTAAATGATCACATGAAAGTCCACACAGGAGAGAAGCCATTTCCATGTGAGCTCTGTGGTCAAAGATTTAGCCTGAAGTCAACTTTAAACAGTCACATGAGAGTCCACACAGGACAGAAGCCTTTTCCCTGTGAGCTCTGTGGAAAAAGATTTAGCCAACAGACAAATTTAAATAATCACATGAGAGTCCACACAGGACAGAAGCCTTTTGTCTGTGAGCTCTGTGACCAAATGTTTTCCCAAAAGACAAGTTTAACCAGACACATGGGAGACCACACAAGGACACAAGGAACTAATGTAATAACACAAGTCCAAAAATGATTGTAGTTTGTACATCCTAGTTCCATGTGTTGCAGCCCTGGTTGTTGTCCTGGATCAGAGTTTCTTCCAGCCCATGAGCCACCTCTCCCTGTCCTGCAAGCCACATTTTGTGGCCACTAAGCTGTAATTATTTCACTAAATCTCTGTTTCCATTGTGATGCAGCACAATGCATCTCTATTAAGGTAGCACGACTCAGGTTGCGAATGACTACAGTCACCAATTTTTATCATGTGTCTTGCCCATGTATGTCTGATCTCTGAACTGCGTGTACTGAAACTCTTAATTTCCCTCTGGGATTAATAAAGGATTGATTGATTGATTGATTGATTGTACCGTTTTAGTATTGTTACACAATGATGAGCAGCTAGATCAGAGTTTTGGAGCGTTGCAGTAGAGAGAGTAGCATGGCGTGTCTACTCTGCTTTTAAATAGTTTGTGTAGTGTACAAATAATTGTCTTTTACCAGTGGTTTGTACTTTGTGAGTTGCAAAAATATAACTACAGATCTCTTCAGTTGTTCATCAAGTGGTTCCAGGATTGGGCCCTGCTAGTGTGATCAGATGAAAGTCCAACATTTCCATTACTTTTCACACATTCTGCAAATTTAGACAGTTTCCTGTTGTTTACAGACGTGCGTCTTGTGTTTGAACCTAGCATTTAGAAACTATGATTGTGAAGCAAAACAAGTGAGGGCTGTCAATCGAACAAAAGTGAAGAACACTGTCTGTCTTTCCGATGAAATCAGGATTAATTCCTTCTAAAAAATGGTGTTAGGAGTAGGCTTGGGCAGGATTACCGCATTACCTTATACGGCCAGTGTCAAAAAATAGCAACGGTGTTAGTTCCAATACTGTCATGAAAAAAATAATACACGTAGGAGACGAGGATTAAAATAATAAAAAATTTATAGTAACCTAATGTATAAAACGGATGCATGGTTCAATTGTCAGTTTTACACAAATAGTTCAAATTAGGGATGAGCAAGTACACCTGTATCTGTATCTGTTCAACCATCTAAATTATCTGTACCCTAACCCGGAAGTGGGTTTAATTTAATCGGAAGTGGGTGTGGTTTACATCAATACATTACTTTAAGTCTGAAATTGATATGAATTGATCAGAAGTTGCTATGTGTAATGTTTATTTGAAAACTATTTACAGAGCAGCCTCAAGAGTTGAGATTAAATGTTTTTGATCACAATAGTAAATGAACTTACAGAACAAGTTGTTCAATAAAATCAGAACATTAATATTTAAGTGCATGAATTAATACATAGAGAGAGAAGTTTATTTAAGTTTATTTACTTAATTGTGGAAGCAGGCCCCCACGCTCCCTGGCGGGACCGAGGCCTGGACTCCCGTGCTCTTCTACGCCGTTCCGCTATTTCATTAGCTAGTTGCTAGGCTTTTTGTTCCCGCGCCTGTGCTGCATAAGTCGAATGGCTTATTGGCCAACACGGCACTGTCCAGTTTCGCTGCTCCTATCCAGCTATTACTCGGCTTCCAGCAGCTCTGGCTTACTGGAACAACATTAGGAGCCTTACTTAGCTTCACCTTTTACTGAAGCTGGTGTTTTGGTGTGCTACTTCCACCTCCAAACATGGATTGTGACGCAGCTCTTCGCTGTGCCCAGTGTTCTGCAGCTACTTCTGCTGACAGCAGGACTGCTGAAGCGTGTGACTCGAATCTGTGCTCTGCTGCTTTGTCTATGCTTCCCGGACCCCGGCTAGCAGACGCCGGTTCAGTCAGCTCGGATGTGCTGTGTGAACCGCAATATTTCAGCGCTTTCGAGACCACAGTAACCGGCGGGGCTATCCATCATTCAGGTGTCTAGTTGGCCCGAATTCTGCTCAGAACCAACACTCAACTGCTGTCTCCATTCCTCCAGCTCAAGCCTGGCAACTCGATGCAGGGACTTCCGCGCTCTTCTCCTATGCTGTTTCCGGCCATGACAGCGCTACTCCATTAGCTAGTTGCTGAGGCTTTCTGTTCCTGCGCCCGTTAAAGAAGTTCAAGTTCAAGAAAATGCAATGGTGATCTGAAATATAAACGTCCTCAGGACAAACACTGTCAGCATTTAGACTCAGGGTAAAAACAAGGTCCAGAGTGTGCCCCCTGGTGTGTGTGGGGCCAGAAACATGCTGGGTAAAGCTAAAGCTTTAACACTTCCTCTTCCGGTCGGTAACAAGATGGCGCCTGTGCTTGGCTTAGCCGCAGTCACCGGCCACTTTTTCAAACTTTTCTCCACTAACCTCTTCTTTTCCACCTTGCTCCTGTCTGTGATCCTCTTCAGTAGTGTCCCTGCTACCATCTCCTATGATCACCAGACTATTTTATCCTTCCGTTCGTTCACGTACGCCCAAGATGCACCGAGGACGTACCTCCCTCTTTGTTTACCTGAGTGGCGCACTGGCGCGGAGCTAAACAACGATCCCAACCTGCATGCCTCCAGCTATGTTTATCCGGTCCCAGGAAAACGTCAGAGGAAAAAAGGTAAACGAGCAGGAATCCAGGTGAGAATAAGACTTTTCTTAAAGCGTGGTTTATCTAGTAAACATCGGGGTGATCTTCTGGCTTCTCTTCTTTTGTTTGGTGACCTGAGCGCCACTTTCGCATTCCCGCCAGGTCGCGTTGCGGCGCGATTTCTCCGTCCAAGTTTTTTAAGGTCGGTTTATCCTCATTCCTCAGTGGTTTCTCCTCCTGTTCCCTCCATAAGTGGTTTTTATAAACACTGTGGATCTAACCCCGCTAATTTACGTCCACTAACTCCAGCTGTTTCTGTAGCTTCTGATTCCTCCACCTCACTCAGCATGGCTCTATTAAATACCCGCTCTGTTAACAATAAGAACTTCCTGCTCAATGATCTAATTCTCTCTAAAAAAACCTGGATTTTCTGTTTCTGACTGAAGTTTGGCAGCAAACATCTGATTATTCTGGTCTGATTGAACTTTGCCCGAGTGGTTATTCTTTTCTTAGCTAGGCTCGGGGTTCTGGTCGTGGTGGAGGCCTAGCTGTTGTTTTCAGAGACCATCTTCCATGTAGCTCTACAACCTCTGGTCACTTTGCTTCCTTTGAACTGCAGCTGATTAAAGTCAGGCGTAAGGACCCGTTCTACTGTGCTGTGGTCTATCGTCCACCTGGTCCAAACAGTTCTTTCCTTCAGGAGTTTAGTGACTTTCTATCCTCCACTGTGAAGCTGTCCAGACTGGTGATTGTTGGTGACTTTAACATCCACGTTGATGATCCCTCTGATCACTTTGCCATGAATTTCTCCAGCCTCATGGACTCCTTCAGCTTTACCCAGCATGTTTCTGGCCCCACACACACCAGGGGGCACACTCTAGACCTTGCTTTTACCCTGAGTCTAAATGATGACAGTATTTGTCCTGAGGATGTTTATATTTCAGAGCATTCTTGAAGGCATCATCACTGGAGCGCTAGCTGTGCTCCTACGACAGACTAACTTTTATTATTGTCCTGTGTACTTTTATGAGTCAAGCAGGAAGTTCCATTGTGTTTTATATGTTTGAGCGTTGCTTCATGCTGACTGCACCGTGTATAATTCACTCTTGTTAAGACTAATAGTGTCTGATCAATGATACATGTAACTGGTCTATGTGAACACGTGCTACTGGATGGTATAAAAGCTGTTTATTAGTTTAAGATGTTTCACATAAACTGACATCTCGTTTCCCTGCTTCTTCACACACACACACACACACACACACACACACACACATTCTAGTCTAGAGTTCAGAGCGGTTCTGGTTCAGTCCGCTGTTGGATCATCAACACTTGACAGGAGACATGATGGTCTTTCATACAGAATGTCTCGTGTCTTCATCTGTCTAGGGCTGTTATGATGGTTTTATTTTTGAACCATTTGAACATTAAATGTTCTCTGCAGACCTGTTAGTGTCCTCCATCATTCAGGTGTTATGAGTGTGTTCTGTTGTCCTTCTGGGTAAAGCAGCAGTTACAGGATGGTGGAGATTTTTTTTAATCGTTGATTTTACCTATTTTTATTTTCTGTCCTTTATTTTAATGAGATGTGTTTGTTTCACATAGATTACAGTTGACTTTGCTACTAAGTGTTGTTCTAGACCTTAGCAATGATGTTTATGCTTCATTATTTGTTTCTTCTTCTTGTAATAAAACTTAAACTTTGCTGGCTGAATCCAGAACTGTTTTCTCTTTAAGTCTCTGATAAAATCCCACAACACCACACATGGCTCCATCCCACAAATCTCCAACTACAAGAAGCTATCCTATCAATGTGAGGCAACATTTCTGAAGAATGCTTTCAGCACCTTGTTGAATCAATGCCACGTAGATTTAAGGCAGTTCTGAAGGTAAAAGGGGCTCAAACACTGTATTAGTATGGTGTTCCTAATAGTCCTGTAGGTGAGTGTGTATATATGTCTATTATACATAGAATATTACCTTTAGTAAACTGTATTTTTGCCCATCAGACCTCAGTGAGTGAAGAAAACAAGAGCGTCTGGTGGCCGCACCAAGCATTACATGAGACAATTTCTAAATCAGCACCTTCACAACACTTTTTGTTTTCTTCTCTGAGCTGCTTCAGAAAAACAAACCAAACATCAAAGGTTTCTCCCACATTCTTTACAGAAAATGTTTTTCTGAAAATACTTCTCAGTTTGTTTATAGGTCAAGAAATCAAGAGAAAAATAAAATTGGTCACAATGAGTTGATAGAACATCACAAGCACAACATTTATTTACTCTTACGTTTGTCAGGGCTTTTGAAGAAACTTAAAAAAAATAATAAAAATGTGTGTTTTATTAGTCCCATTCTGAACACACAGGTGTTTTATTCTGCTCCAGCAGGTGGCGCTAGTGCACCTTTACGCTGGTCACCAACCACCCGAGAAAGCAGAAACCGGAAGCTGCTAGCAGAGCTAGCTTGTTGTTGTTCTGGTGTGTGAGGAGAATATTTGAGGCTCTGCAGTAAAAATGTCTTCACTTCAGTCTCTGGGAGAGTTGATCAGCTAAAGCGACTAACTGCTGCTGCTGCAGAAATCTTCTCACCAGGCTGTGGAAACTTTCTCCTCCTCAACAACTTGGTGGAGTTCTTTCCAGAACCGGAGAAGATATTCTGCGGTCTTCGTGACAATCGGAGCTCCAGAATCAGGTTGTGGGTGAGAAAAGCTTTTCTCTAGACTTCCTGCCCTCTGGATCTGCTGCTGTTCCTTTGGCCTCTCTGAGAAACGCGCTCGTTTTGCTGCTTTCATCAGATTGAAGAGGTTCCCTCTATCAGACTCGCTCATCTGAGTTGGTCATGATGCAGGATCGCTGCTCGCTCTCTGATCCATCCTGCTCACACTCTCCGACGGAAAAGCCCCGAATCTGAATGTGACTCTGGAGGAAAAAGCGGTTAGCTCTACTCCGGGAACTCTGGTGAGCAAAGGTCCTCTTTTCCAGACTGGATCTGTCCTCAGCTGATCAGAACCAAAGCGTTAGATCTTTAATCTCCTGCGTTGTTCTGAAGCAGCATCTTAATCAGCTCTCCTGCTTTGTTTCTATTGCAGCTGTTAGCTAAACACGGCTAAAGAAAACCTGCTACCACTTCAGGATCTGGGACTGATTCATCGTGTGTTCTTCACCACCTGGACCTGGACAGCATGGACACAGGTACTGGTGCACACCAAACCATCAGCACTCCCACATCCATAATCCAGCATCTCTGTACAGATGGTCTCTGCAGACAGACTTCAGTGATGCACAAACACAAGAAAACATCAACATCGGCTCCTGAAACCAGATATCAGCTCCATCTCTTCTTTCTGTCAGCGTTCTACCAGTTACCTCATTCCTTCAGTCAGGACCACTTACCTAAGCTAACATGTTTTTATGTTTTATCTTAACCGGACAGTGATAACAGACACTTGTAATGTGTGCAAACTGGGCATTCAGAATGCTGGAAGAGACGGCTGCATGATGAGCAGCCTTCACAACAAACTAGTTCCTCCTCAGTGACGTGCGGTCAGGCTCATGACTGGGGAGGTTCCTGCACGTCTCATATGTACAAATATATTAGCCCAGACGAGAGCTAGCATTTTTATTTAGACATTAATTAGAACCTTTGATATTAAAGCTTAAAATTGTCGATTCTCTTCTGTTCAACAATATCATGGAAAACAAAAAACATTTAATAAAAGGTCAATTTTGATTATTTAATTCTTTTTGGGATTTTTCAGGAAACATAAATTCTGCGATTTTGACCATAAACAGGATGACATCATACAGAAAACTAATGTATTGACCAGTCTTTTACTTGATATTAGTCATTATTAGTATTTTACTTGTCATGATGACAGAGGAGGCAGTGCCTCACCTGCCTTTTTTTTTCAACCTTCATTTTACCAGGTTAAATGTTTAAGAACATGTTCTCATTTACAAACATGACCTGGCCAAGACGTTTTAGAAGGAAGTGCAAAAAAAAACGTTTATTATTATTAACAATTATAATTATAAACAATTATCATTGTCATTATTTTTATCATTATTATTATTATTATTATTATTAATAATAATGATAAAAAATACAACAAAAACAGATAAGCACATTACAGAGCAGACATAATAGGCAAATTTAAATCTGGGTCTGAAAATTAAAGGAACATATACACATGCATGCAGAAGAACCATTACATCATACAGGGAACTGAATGTGTGTGTGTGTGAATGTATGTAAATATGCTTGATATGGGTGATCAACAAGAGCAACAGTCAGTTATAATATGGAGATGTTTAGACCTAAAGGTTGAAATAGGTGCAACGTTGCAAGTTTAAGGGTGTTTTGTAAATTGTGTATCAGGATACTGTGGTTTACTGAGTCAACCGCCTCAAGCTTGGTTTGTGCTTGACACATTCACTTTCCGCTTGGTGATGCGGCTCGTGGATGGAACGCACTTCACAACTCGCAGCGTTTATGGTTCATGCGGCTCGTCTCTGCGGTGAGCCAATATTCTCCCAAACTGTAGGGGACAGCATGGAGCTCTACGGCATACATCCAACACTACACCACAGTAGAAGTAAAAGTTACTGTTGTTTACAACATGGCATTCCAGCATTTTTAACAGCGTCCTCGTCTTTTCCGACAGTGCGAGCTATCTCTCCAACAATCATTAACAACATGTTGATCACGGTGATCTCTGAGAGCTGAATCACACAAATGTCTGTATTTACGAACCTCTGCCATACTAGTTCTTGCCGGTCCGCCATGTTTTTCTGCGTCCGACTGTCCGCGTGGCTAGAAAATTTCCTATGTGCGCTTTGCGGAAATTTTGGGCCGTGCGGAGGCGCGGTGGAGGGGCGTGGTTGTTAAAATGACGCAACTTTTCAGTGCGAAGCCGTGCGGACCTCGCGGAAGCGTCAAGCATAAACCAACCTTTAGCCAGATCAATGCAGGCAGCTATGTAGACCTGCTTACTGTCTATTCCTTCTCGCTCATTGGCCTGCATTAAATCCCAGTTAACAGCAGCATCTCTAACAAAACCACAGAGCCAGCCAACAGTGAAAGATACGTTAATAAACAGAGAATTTTTATCAACATACTAAGAAGCGACGTTTTTTGGCAGATAAACTAAGGAAATGGCATAACTACAGAAAGAAAGAAGTCCCTAAATAATAATAAATTATGTTGTGTTATGTTTATTTATTTGGCAGACGCTTTTATCCAAAGCGACTTACAGTTTATAACCTATAGGGCATGTTGTGATCTGTGGGGGAAACCGGAGTACCCGGAGGAAACCCACGCATGCATGGGGAGAACACACAACTCCACACAGAAAGGCCGCAGCCGAGTTTCGAACCTGCAACCTTCGTGCTGCGAGGCAACAGTGCTAACAACTGCGCCATCATGCAGCCCAAAGTAAAGGATAACTTGGACGTGTTTTCCCCCTTTTCTTCTTATTTTAATGCTTTGCTAAAGTATTGGATTGACTCGATATTGCAATCAAAAAATAAATAAAAACGTGATCGGAGCATCTCTACAAATTAGTGAATTTAAATCCTTGATCAGACTTGTTTCTGTTCTAGTGTCATGTTTAAAGCATTTCTATTTATAGATATGCTGTTACAAGGTAGTGAGTAATTGGAATGCTGACAAAAACACTTATTCACTCAAGTCAAATTTGAAAACATAACATACTGTGCAAAAGTCCATTTATTTCAGTAATTTGACCAGTTTCCGCTTTCCAGATCTGGATAAATTTGACATTGTACTCTTCTGCACTGGTCTGCCACATAAGTGCTCTGAGCTCCTCTTCAGCTTGCTGTCTGCTTGCATGTAGTACTGTCAACAGCAGACATGGTGAACGTACAAGTGTGAGAGAACGTACAGATGCTCTGATGGGAATCTTGATTGAGTGTTACCTCTGCAAAGTTGTCTGCACGTGACGTTTAAAATATCTGTGCACCTGCACGAATCATTAGCAAACTTAATTATGGGCAAATAAATAAACAAATCGCCTTTGTAAAAATGGCCCGTTGAAAGGCTCATTCTATGATCGATAGTCAAATAATTTGTCCAATCGCCCAACTCTAGTGTGTGTGTGTGTGTGTGTGTGTGTGTGTGTGTGTTTACATGTTGTCAACTGTTCTCTGTCAAAATCTGATCAATACTAGTATCTGTGTATTCACCTCACAAGAATTTCTTGTTTTTTGACTCAGTTCAGATCTTACCAACCTAAAGCAATACAACTGATATACGCGATAACATAAAGTTACACCAGTCAGTGTGTCTGTGTGTTTCCTACAGATGTTCAACAGGTGGTTCTGGTTAAAGAAGAAGCTCTTGAAGAACAGAGTGCTGGTGTGGACCAGCAGGACCAAGAAAGTCTCCACATAAAGGAGGAACAGGAGGAACTCTGGACCAGTCTGGAAGGAGAGCAGCTTCGTTTGAAGGAGGAGACTGATGGTGCCAGGTTTCCATTCACTGCAGTTTCTATAAAGAGTGAGGATGATGAAGAGAAACCTCCATTCTCGCAGCTTCATCTGCACCGAATAGAAGACCGAGATGTCCCATCCAGCAGCTCAGCTGACCAGATGACAGCAGAAACTGGTGGAGGAGTAGAAACTAGCAGGAACTCAGATCTGAACTCTGATGAACAGACATCTGATTCTTCCGAGACTGACATTAGTGGAGATGAAGAAAAGGAGGAGGATGACTTAAATCTAGACTCTGTGTCTGAAACTAGAGACAAAGACGATGACTGGAATGAGTCAGGTGTTAATTCTGTCAACAAATCCTTTAGCTGCCCTGAGTGTGATAAACGATTTCTCCACAAGTGGTCTCTCCAGAAACATGTGAGAGTGAAAGGTCATTCAGCAATAAGGTCTTCAGGCTGTTTTGTTAATAAGACATGTGTTATAGTGAAGAAACATGTAGACTCGTGCTGGAAAGTCAAGATAGAATCAAAATCATTTAGTTGTGGTGACTGTGGAAAAACGTTTAGTCATAAAACAAATCTAAAAAGACACATTAAAGTCCACACAGGACAGAAACCATTTGCCTGTGAACAGTGTGGACAAAGATTTAGCCAAAAAGCAAATTTAAACAGCCACGTAAGCATCCACACAGGACAGAAACCTTTTTCATGTGAACTCTGTGGGCAAAGATTTACTCGAAAGACAAGTCTAAACATTCATTTGAGAGTCCACAAAGGGCAGAAACCATTTGTCTGTGAGCTCTGTGGACAAAGATTTACTCGAAAGACAAGTTTAAACATTCATATGAGAGTCCACACAGGACAGAAACCGTTTACGTGTGAACTCTGTGGACAAAGATTTAAGCAAAAGGCATCTTTAAACTATCACATGAGTGTCCACACAGGACAGAAACCTTTTGTCTGTGAGCTCTGTGGACAAAGATTTACTCAAAAGACAAGTTTAAACATTCACATGAGAGCCCACACAGGACAGAAACCATTTGTCTGTGAGCACTGTGGACAAAGATTTACGCGAAAGACAAGTTTAAACATTCATATGAGCGTCCACACAGGACAGAAACCTTTTGTCTGTGAGCTCTGTGGACAAAGATTTACTCAAAAGGCAAGTTTAAACGTTCACATGAGAGTCCACACAGGACAGAACCCTTTTGTCTGTGAGCTCTGTGAACAAGGATTTACCCGAAAGACAAGTTTAAACATTCACATGAGATTCCACACAGGACAGAATTTATTAACGTGTAAACTCTGTGGACAAAGATTTAATCAAAAGACGTCTTTAAACAATCACATGAGTGTCCACACAGGACAGAAAGCTTTCGTCTGTGACCTATGTGGACAAAGATTTACTTATAAGCAAAATTTAAACAGACACATGAGAGTCCACACAGGACAGAATCCTTTTGCCTGTGAGCTCTGTGGACAAATATTTACTCGAAAGACAAATTTGAACTATCACATGAGCATCCACACATGACAGAAACCTTTTGCCTGTTAACTACGTGGACAAAGATTCAATCAAAAGGCAAGGTTAAAGGGGTAGAAGAATGCAGAGCACCATTTTCCTTGTTGTTGAATATACACAGCTTGGGTGGTCAAATGTAGCATACCACAACATCAAAGCCGTGCCTGACCTGCTTTCTAAGTTAATTAGAAATGTTAAAAATGTGAGAAGAAAACTCCTGTGCTGTGCTACGTTGTGGCCGTGAGGTGAACCCCGTTTTCGTTTCATCTTCCGACCTCTTTTGGCGTCTTGCTCTTTGCTCCATAAAAATAGTACATTAGTACTGGTTCCAAAGGTGGTTTCTCTTCTGAAGGTTCCACAGTTTTATAAAGATCGTTGTTTTAATTCGGGACTAGTTTGTTTTGAGCGTAATGACTTCGTACTGCTTTTGTCAGCAGTCACATCATCAATAAATACAAGAGAACCAGTTCCACTGGCAGCCATACATGTCCACGCCATGACACTTCCAGCACCATGCTTCACTGATGAGGTGGTATGCTTAGGATCATGAGCAGTTCCTTTTCGTCTCCATACTCTTCTCTTCCCATCACTCTGGTACAAGTTGATCTTTGTCTCATCTGTCCATAAGATGTTGTTCCAGAACTGTGAAGGCTTTTTTAGATGTTGTTTGGCAAACTAATCTGGCCTTCCTGTTTTTGGGGCTCACCAGTGGTTTACATCTTGTGGTGAACCCTCTGTATTCACACTGGTGGAGTCTTCTCTTGATTGTTGACTTTGACACAGACACACCTACCTCCTGGAGAGTGTTCTTGATCTGGCCAACTGTTGTGAAGGGTGTTTTCTTCACCAGGTAAAGGATTCATCGGTCATCCACCACAGTTGTTTTCCGTGGTCTTCTGGGTCTTTTGGTGTTGCTGAGCTCACCGGTGCGTTCCTTCTTTTTGAGAATGTTCCAAATTGTTTTGGCCACGCCTAATGTTTTTGCTATCTCTCTGATAGGTTTATTTTGTTTTCTCAGCTTGCTTCACTGATAGTGACAGCTCTTTGGATCTCATCTTGACAGTTGACAGCAACAGATTCCAAATGCAAATAGCACACTTGAAATGAACTCTGGACCTTTTATCTGCTCATTGTAATTGGGATAATGAGGGAATAACACACACCTGGCCATGGAACAGTTGAGAAGCCAATTGTCCCATTACTTTTGGTCCTTTAACAAGTGGGAGGCACATATGCAAACTGTTGTAATTCCTACACCGTTCACCTGATTTGGATGTAAATACCCTCAAATAAAAGCTGGCTGTCTGCAGTTAAAGCACATCTTTTTTTGTTTCATTTGATATCCATTGTGGTGGTGTATAGAGCCAAAAATGTTAGCATTGTGTCAATGTCCCAATATTTATGGACCTGACTGTAGCACTGAAACTGCTCATGTGTGAAAAAATAAAGTCATAAAATTATAAAATTTCATAAACAGATGAAAGATTAAAAATTTGAGTTAAAAATAAGAAAAGGTTTGGGTAAAAGCAGCTTTAAATCAAAGGGTCTTTGGCTGTTTTTTTAAAAGTGTCCAGACTGTCAACGCTGCGTAAGGATAAAGGAAGATCATTCCAGAGTCGGGGTGCAACAGTCTGGAAGGAGCAATCACCTCGACTTTTGTATCTGGCCTTTGGAACTTCTAGAATGTTCTGGTGTGTGGAGCTGAGGGCTCGGGTTGGAGCATAAGTCTTTAACAGTTCAGTAATTTAGGGAGGAGCTTGACCATGTAGAGCATTTAAAGTTATAAATATATATTTCAGTTATCAGCATTCTAAAATGAACTCTAAATTTAACAGGTAACCGGTGCAGAGACATTAGAATCGGAGAGATGTGTGCTCTTCTGTCAGTTAAGTCTGTCTTGACGGCAGACGATAAATGGCCAAGTTTTAGACTAATCAGGGGAACCATGCTCTCAGGGGCAATGATCAGACATTCAGTCTTTTCAGAGTTTAACTGAAGGAAGTTCTTCTAGCCACCTGGTGATAGCTGATAGACACTCTAGTAATTCAGACCGTTTGTAGAACTCGGAATCCTTAAACAGTGCAGCTGAATGTCATCTGCATATAGGTGATAAGAGACCTTATGAAAACAATCAAGTATCTGTCCAAGAGGGTGCATGTACAGCAGAAATAACAGTGGACCCAAAACAGAACCTTGGGATACCCCACAGAACAGGCCAGTAGAATCTCACATGATTTGGTTTATACAGACACTGTAACTTCTGTTACAAAGGTATGAATCTAAACCAGTCTAGAACAGTTCCAGAGATCCCCACCAAGTCGTTTAATTAAGGTGCTGTGATCAACAGTGTGAAAAGCTGCACAAAGATCTAACAATACTAACCCCTCCTTTCCACGGGAGCCGTCAGCAGCATGTTGCTGCAGCAGCACGTCTTGCTCGCGTATGCTGTTGCTTGGCCCTTCCCACGAGACGCGAAGCAGCAGGGGAGCAGCTGTCACCGACAGAGCACGAAGTCACGCCACCACTGACCCTGTGGGACCTCAAGCGTTGTCCAGACACAAGGAGCAACAATTATTGATCTTCTTAAACTGTTGCCTGTTATTTGTTCAACTTGCTACTCAGATGAAAACAAAGTCTCCAGAGTTGCTTTTACAGCTCCATGATCAGCAATTGTTATAGCTTAGTCTGGTCCAACATTAACATAAAAACGTATTAAAACTGTTGGACAGAACTTCCATATTATGTGTCATGTTCTGTGGTACTCTTGACCCACGACATGCAGAATCAGAGGCAGAAACAGGGAGGTAAGGAAATAAATAATATATTTTAGAATGGAGAACTCAAAGCGCTGCTCAAACTGATGCAGGAAGTACCAGGATGTTCTGAAGGAGAGACAAAGGTCAGTATCCATGAGAGATGAAATGGATAACTGAAGGTTTAGGCTTACTGTAAGGAGGTGGTTGGAGGGCGTGCAAAGGAGCACTGGTTGGTCTGTGAAGATGGGTTGCAAAGGGGTCTTGATGAAGACAAGGTCCAGAGTTTCTGCGTGGTGAGCTTAAAAGGGTCAGGCGGTAGGGGCGTGGTGGAGAGCATAAAGCCAGGAGTTGGAGCTGCGTGAAGTGGAGCTGACGAGAGGTTCTTATGGCTGGAGGAGATGGTTCCTTGAGGGGATAAGAGGAAGGATTATTTTTGGTCCTAGTCTGTTAGAAATCTGCTTCACAAAAAATTTCTACGTCTTAGTCTTAGCTTGACAATAATTTTTAATCTGGCTCAAACTACCCAGATTGAGTAATCATCCGGCAAGGGTGTTCTTCTTCTTCTACTAATTCTTCTTCTTCATGTCTGTTTAAATGGCGGGTGGCAACCAACTCAAGGTGCATTACCGCCACCTACTGTGCAGGAGTGTGAGTCAGAGCGAGGAGAGAAAAATAAATAAATAAATAAAAAAAACTAAAAAAAAAAACTAAATCCTATTAAAGACCTTAATTTTCCTAAGAAACTCTAGCACCAGTTTATAAATGGATTTATTACCATTCAACAATGTTCTCAAATCCCAAACACCATATCCTTTAGTCTTCAACCTATCTACAAATTCACCCCTAATTACAGTATACTTACTACAAAGACACAAAACATGTTCAACCGTTTCCTGTACGTTCCCACAACCACAAAAACCTGTTACATGTTTACCCAACATATGCAAAGTGCTACCGGCAAGGGTGTTCTTCTTCTTCTTTTGGAGGTTTAATGGCGGTTGGCAAACAACCAATGGTGCATTACCGCCACCAACTAGTGTGGAGTGTGGTCTGGAACAGCAGCCTCAAAACAAAACCAAGGCAAGGGTGTTGAAGAAGTCAGCTCCTAAATATCCCCTGGAGGATGATTGGAGATGAGCTGCAGCTGGCCCTCCTGCTCTCCAGACATGCCCATCTGCAGACTCCTAAAAACATGGTGAGAGTAAAAACAGCCCGTGACATTATATCCCTCCTGGTATTTATCCATAAAATACTCTGTGTAGCTGTTTTGTGTGGCACCATTTGTAATAACCCTATTGAGTATGCTCCGCATGGTTTTGATATTATTTCTGTTGCTGTTTAAAACTGTCTTGTAGTATTCCCTTTTGCTTTCTCTAAATATGTTTATAAACTAATTTTTAAACAAAATAATATAAATATTATAAAATATAGAAAAATATTGTATGAACATTAAGTAATGGTTTGGACCATTTATTACACGTTTGGCTTATACACATAAGTCAGTTTTATTCTGTTCCAGCAGGTGGCGCTACCGGCAGAAGAAGCAGAAACCGGAAGCTGCTAGTAGAGCTAGCTTGTTGTTGTTCTGGTGTGTGAGGAGAATATTTGAGGCTCTGCAGTAAAAATGTCTTCACTTCAGTCTCTGGGAGAGTTGATCAGCTACAGCGACTAACTGCTGCTGCTGCAGAAATCTTCTCACCAGGCTGTGGAAACTTTCTTCTCCTCCTCAACAACTTGGTGGAGTTCTTTCCAGAACCAGAGAAGATATTCTGCGGTCTTCGTGACAATCGGAGCTCCAGAATCAGGTTGTGGGTGAGAAAAGCTTTTCTCTAGACTTCCTGCCCTCTGGATCTGCTGCTGTTCCTTTGGCCTCTCTGAGAAACGCGCTCGTTTTGCTGCTTTCATCAGATTGAAGAGGTTCCCTCTATCAGACTCGCTCATCTGAGTTGGTCATGGTGCAGGATCGCTGCTCGCTCTCTGATCCATCCTGCTCACACTCTCCGACGGAAAAGCCCCGAATCTGAATGTGACTCTGGAGGAAAAAGCGGTTAGCTCTACTCCGTGAACTCTGGTGAGCAAAGGTCCTCTTTTCCAGACTGGATCTGTCCTCAGCTGATCAGAACCAAAGCGTTGGATCTTTAATCTCCTGCGTTGTTCTGAAGCAGCATCTTAATCAGCTCTCCTGCTTTGTTTCTATTGCAGCTGTTAGCTAAACACGGCTAAAGAAAACCTGCTACCACTTCAGGATCTGGGACTGATTCATCGTGTGTTCTTCACCACCTGGACCTGGACAGCATGGACACAGGTACTGGTGCACACCAAACCATCAGCACTCCCACATCCATAATCCAGCATCTCTGTACAGATGGTCTCTGCAGACAGACTTCAGTGATGCACAAACACAAGAAAACATCAGCAGTGACAACTGGACTAATAAACCACTCAGAGCGTTTCTAATAGACACAGAGGTCTACAGCAGTGATTCACTACGACATTTATCTACGGTTCCAGTATAAATCACTAGGGTTATGGCAGCGGAGGAGTTAGGCGTCTGTCCCTTAATCAGATGGTTGCAGGTTCACTCTCTGCTCAGTCTGTTGCTATTGTTGTGTCCTTGGGCAAGACACAACCCTCCTTTGCTGCTGGTGGTGGTCAGAGGGACCGGTGGCACCTGTGTTCTGCAGCCTTGCTGTGAGTGACTCCAGGGAGGCTGTGGCTACGTTGTAGCTGATCATCACCAGGGTGTTAATGACTTAATTTGTTGTAAAGCACCTTGGGGGGTCTAGGACTGGACAAGGTGCTGCTTTAATCACAGGCCATTTGTCATTTTCACTACTTTACACGGCACATAAGAGCTCACCAAATAACAGAACTAGAGTTAAAACATTCTTGTTAACAAAAATAAAAATGAAACCTAAAATGTGAAAAATTATTTCAACTCACTCAAACTGTAACAAGCGTCCACAACAAAAACTACAAGCATTTTAGATGCTTTTAACTTATTTGTAATTTCTGGTTGTTGCTCGTTTCTGATGGCTCATTTACAGTGATGGGAATGATGGTGTTTAAAACAACGGCGGTACTAACAGAAGTTATTTCTTTTAGTAGCGTTTAATCTAATTAATTACTCTCCTATTTCACTATAAAGCCGCTTCTGTTACCGAGGAGGAAAGGCGTGCGTTACTACAAGGTGTTGAAGCTGTCATCAGCTGATCGGGAGCTAAAGGGGCAGATCAGGGCCGGTGAAGAACGAGGACGTTGTGATCAGGCTGCAGACCCATGAGGCCATTATGGTCTACATTCTTTGAAGCCAAGAAGGAAGTGGCAGGAATTGCAGTTCCATCCTCATCCACTAGGGGCTGGCAGCAGACCTGAGCAATTCCTCATTGACTCTAGGGCTGGGGGTAAACGATTATTTTTAAAACGATTATTCTGACGATTATTTTATCGAATAGTCGACTATTCTAATGACTATTTAGATGATTAATCTAGCGATTATTTTTCGATTGCACAGTTAATAAAAACCAAAAAATCTCTAATAAATTCCTCAAAAAATTGATAAATTGTTACTGTAAGAGAATAAACACTACAAGCCTTCCATTTTGTATAACACTGCTTTTATTGTGTTGCGGTTGGTTATGTTCTGGTGACTGTAGAACTTGGGAGTGCAGGCTGCTGCCTGAGAGCTGGTTGGAGACGGAGTGTCTCCATGCTGCTTTGTTTTGGTCACTTATGTGCGTGAGGCGAGTGGTGTTACGACTCTTCCTGGGGAGTTTGGCTCATGTGCAAAAAGGAAGGGGCAATAACATGGAATTTAAAAGTTAAAATGATGATCAGGTTTATTTACAACAACAACAAACATAAATCTTTCCGTCCACAGGTTGGGAATAATAAAACTAATTCTGCCTGTGGGGAATTAAAACAAAAGTACAAATAAGTAGGGATGTCCCACTGGGCAAAGATTACTGGGTTCTGGACCAAAATAAGGATCTCCAAAGGTCCAAACTCTAAACTGGGTGGTTAAACCAAACTCAAGGTGACATTTTAAACTAAACCGAAAACCCACAACACTCTAAATGTAATAAAAGGGAGATCTACACCACAAAAAAGATGAACTCTAAACCAAAACATAACAGCTTATCCAAACGCAAGAAGTGGTTAGTGAAGATGCTAACAGTAGCTTTACCAACGTTAAGTTCAAGTTACCAAGTTTAAATAAACCAAAAATACCAGCAGCAAACAGACCAGCATGGAGGAGAGACTGCTACCACCAAAACAGCTCTCCTAATGTCTGAAAGAAGCTCCTTAATGAAGGTAGAAACGCTCCCCAGGGGTGGACATTAACTTCAAAACCAACCGGCCAGCCGGGCCGGTAACTCTGAATATCTACCGGCCCCGCCAAGAATCTACCGGCCCCGCAGGTCAGCTGCCAAAACGAGTCAAAATAACAACTGAACCGTTTTAAATGTAATAAACCTTTATTTTGTACACATTCACAAACATAATAACGTATTCAAGTTTGAATTGGTTTGTTCCCTCAACAAAACTCGATTTTGTCGTCGCATACTTCCGGCATACAACGCAGTACATCACCAACTCCGCTTTGCTGTACTCGAGCCATTGGCCGTGTTCGAGATGAGCCAGTTCTGCGCAGATTAGACCAGCGGTGATCGGCGAGCAGTGCATGCCGGTTAGATTTGTGTCCGACTTGACGCCGACTTGCTCTGACGTCATGTATACGTAGGCAACGATAACCTCGTGAGATCAAGGCGGCCGCAGATTTTGGAGCAAGGTGCTGCAGTTGCTCTCCCTCGGCTGCAAAACCTAGATGACGGGAAATGCCTGGCTCTCACCTGATCTAAGATCTGATTGGTTCATATTTTGATCCAAACATCTGGTGTAGAACATGAAATGTTAGTTGGTCACATGTATTCTGTAAATCATGTTATGTTGATGATGACAACTATATAGGCCATAAAGAGAAATGTGTTTTGTTTTCTTTTGTCACGTTTCCTATGAGCACACTGAAGCTACAGCTGATAACCTTTACTTATTATTATTATTCTCTCTCTCTCTCGCTCTCGCTCTCTCGCTCTCTCGCTCTCTCGCTCTCTCGCTCTCTCTCTCGCTCTCGCTCTCGCTCTCGCTCTCGCTCTCTCTCTCTCTCTCTCTAGGAAAAGAGCTAAGGAAATGGAGGAAAAACTACAGCTGAGCCCTGATCCGAACTGAGCAGCGGCCGAATTTCGTGAGCGATTCGCTTCTCGGCGCTTCCGCGGCCGGTGTGTCCCCGGCGTAAACGCCGGCTTTCAGCCACTCCCCCTGCTGCTTCCATCTGCTCTCGTCTGTTTTCCAGGCGAGGCGCTGCTCAACTCGAACATGGCCATTCTCTGCGCCTCCCGTCTTCTTTAAACCGCCAAGAATCATTCCACCTACGCACACGCTTCTCTGCTTCATACCGTTTCGAACTGTCTCGCTTTTCCTCACCAGTTTTAAAGCGTTTTGCCGGAGATTTCATCAAGAAATCCCATCCCTGTGGTGGCGCGATCTTCCTGCGTGCTTGTGTGTTTCTAGCGTGATTCCACTTCGTCTTTAATAGTGAACTTATAGTTCACGTGACTAGAACTAGAATGTGCATTACGTGCACGAATCGTACAAGTGCAGTACGTGGCTAGAGGCGCGCAGGTTCACGCGCGCGAAACGAAAACAGCGGCTTCCTACAGGGCGGGGCCATGATGTAGGTGAAAGCCGGTGTGTAAATGACAAATAAGGCTTGGGCGCCACCCGGGCGGTAAGTCGTCAAGTATTTACCGCCCGACAAGAAAATTTAGCGCCATTGGCGCTCGGGCGCTTTAACGGTCCACCCCTGGCTCCCGGTGATGTTCTACATCTGCGGTAGAGATGGAGCAGCGCATCTGACCCCGGAAGTTGTTGTCCGTTGCCGGGAGACGAAGATGGGCAAAACAGGAAAGGAGTCTCGTAGCGGACGGACATTGTTCCGGGTCTTCGTTATTTGGCGGAGATGTTAGTGAAGGCGGAGAAGAGGGCGAACTAGAGGGAAAACAGGCAGATTCCTCCTCTATTTACAAACTCCTGGGGATGCAACAAGTGGGCGTGGTGCATCGACTACCGGATCTGACGTCGACGAATTTTTAGAATCGAGCCGTCGACGTCATCGAGGCTTCGCCACAGCTCTAATTGACTCCCATGTTTAAAATGCCCGTTTCACAGCAGAAACAAACATGTTTACAGCCTGGATCTAGTTCACACTCATGACAGCTCAGAGGGGGGTGAACTTTCTGTAACTCTTCTGTTTAAGTGTAATTTAATGCTTAAAATCTGCATAATTAATGAGCATCAGAGCCACGTGACTACAGAGCTAGCTCCCGGGAAAGGCCTCAGCCTCACGTTAACAGATGTTCGGCCATGTTGTCTCTCTGAACTTTCGTTTTGTCCTCTGTGTGTTTGTGTTTGGATGTTAATCATGGAATTATTTGGACAACGAGGGTAAGCTGTGGTTATGGACTGCACTAACAGATCATCCAAGCAGCATCTGCTGTTCCCGTTTCCCGCGGCCGCCGACGCACCGGCTCCCATGCGAGGCTGTAGTCATGCTGGTCACCGCAGCTCTTTTAGTTGACGTCGCTTTACTTTTGAGTCGCTCAAATGCATTTTTCTCGCTGTAGTTTGCTGGTTGAATGGAGGAAAGGTCTTTGCGTTGAGCCGGAAGAGACTCAACGCAAAATGACAATTATGTTTAGTGGGAAAAAACGATTTATTTTCGCTGCAGAACAGTTTTTATGAGCGAGCTTCTAGCACACAGGATGCCAATCCCTACAGAAAATATATTTGACTAAAATGACGTTCAGGGTTAAATAGCCTGCTGACTGTAGACGTGTTTCTTCTACCTTCATTTGTTCTTTTCAAATGTAGTTATTACATTTTATTTATCTTCAATTTTGTCTTTAAACCATATAAATATAATAGATAACATATCATGGATTAATTATTTATTTATCTGATTAAATATGTTTGTGGCAAGGTGGAGAAACGAGGACCCGGGCGGGATTCGATCCCCAGACTCCCGGGTGAGAGTCACACGCTCTAACCAGTCAGCCAAAGGGACATCCCCTTGGCCAAGTAGCCAGGGCGCATGATCAATCGGGACATGGTGACAGGACGCTCACACTGTCACATGTTGATCAAATTAAATCACCTATTGTGATCAAATGTTGACTTTTTTACAAGATGGTTTTTATTTAACTGTATCTGACATGTTTGATTAGAATGTGAGAAGCAACGTTCTCAGAGGTCAGGTTTTCCACGACCAGTCTGAGTTCTGAGTTGCTCTGAGTCAGATCTTTGATCTGCTCTTTAAGATCTGAGTTCTCACAGACTATCATCCTGTTAGAGTCCAGCTGAGCCTCATAGCTAACCCTGAGCTGCTTTTCCAAGTCCAAACTGTTGCTAAGTTCTTCACAGACGGACATTTTTTCATGGAGCAGCTGTTTAAACTTCTGCAGATCCTCACACATCTGGTCTGATTTAGTTTCTACAGCCTGACCACCTCTCAGCGTCTGACTGAGCTCCAAGTTCTTCTGTTTCAGATTGTTGATCTCCTTCTTGAGATTTCCGTTTGTTGAACTCATTTGATCTTTAGTTTTTTGAATTCTTCCTCACAGGTCAGGCAGAGCTCGTTTTCTTTGTTCAAACGTTTCTCTAAATCTTCACAGATTAGCTTCTTCTGTTTGAGCTGATGCTTAAAATCATTTCGCTCTTCCAGAAGTTTCCTGTCTCTGTTCTTCAGATTCGTTTTAACGTTGTCCAGCAACTCAGAGAGGTCACCGTTCCTTTTCTTAAGATCTTTCATTTCCTTCTTATAGTTCTCGTTAACAGTGTGTAGCGTTTACAAATTGATGATTTTAATCTGTTATGACCACAAAGATGTAATATTCTGTATAAATATATAATATTAACCTGCAAGGTCTTTATTGTAATTATTCAAAAGATTCTAGGATTTGATTCAGAAGATCTAGGTTATTTGCTTTTTCAGTGATCAACCACGATTCGTGTTACTTCAAGAAAGAGTCAAGTTTATAAAAGTAAGAATTTATTTTACAAACAATTTAAAACATGACTAATTAATGAAGCATTTAAGGTGAATGAGTGGAACTAAGGCGCTGAAGTAACCAAGGTGTAAATATGATGTCGATCAGAGCTTCCTTATCCAATGAAGCTGAGTTCTGGTGAAATGAATTTGGAGTGCGTTAAGCTTATGAAGTTATCATCAACAAAATGCATCCAGACGTAATCTCTGTGTTCTACTTGCCCTTTTGCTGACCCTTGTCAGGATCCGGAGGTCAGGGAGGTCAGATGACCTCGGGCACCCAGGTCCAGAATTTTGACCACCCGGTAGCAACTTTCCTCGGTCCAAAAGATTTCAACAGGCAATACAGGATGGAATCAGCTTGCATCTCATGGATTCTCTTAAGGAGTTCAGCTTTGTTCTCCAAGAAGCGTTTCTCATCAGCTTTGCAGGTGCTGCGAGGCAACAGTGCTAACCACTGCGCCACCATGCAGACCTATATGTATGCATATATATGTTTTATATTGTAAAACAGTGTGGAGTATATATTTATATATAAACATAAAAACAAACATGTAAAAATAACTTCATTCTGAAGCTGTGGCAGCTTTTATTTTTCCGTGATGATCAATTGATTCAGTTGAAAATAAAATCAAAAGTATTAGCTTTATCTAAAAAGTCATCTTGTATTTTAGACCCAATCCCAACCAAACAATTTAAAGAAGAATTTTCTTTTGTTACTGACCCCACGTTAGATGTAATCAATCTATCTAGACTCAGTGGTCTCCTTTAAAAACAGCTAACAAGTCACCAAAGGTCACACTGGCTTTTGCATGACCTTTGGTTGATTCTTCATCACTTTCCTCTCCTCATTCGGCTCTTTTAAACCAATTCTGCCTAACACTGGAGACGAAAATAATTACTGGAATTAGTCGGGTGTTAAGTCTGTCAGCAAATCCTTTAGCTGCCCTGAGTGAACTCCAAAAAAAGTGTTTGATTGAAGTTACACATCTCCACTATCTTCTGATGTAATGTGTTAACTTTTTGAGGTATTATGTTTGGATTGTTAAACACAATATTTAGATTTTGGTGCTTACAGGAGTTTATTTTACCATCCTAATGTTATGGTTCTAATTGTTTTGGTTTTCGGCCTTGGTTTCCTAGTTATTGGTTTTCGGTTTAAGCTAAGAATTTTCATTTCGGTGCATCTCTATCAGTAATTCGCATCATGTTTTTGTGTTTCCTACAGATGTTCAACAGGTGATTCTGGTTAAAGAAGAAGCTCCTGAAGAACAGAGTGGTTGTGTGAACCAGCAGGACCCAGAACACCTCCACGTAAAGGAGGAACATGAGGAACTCTGGACCAGTCTGGTGGGAGAGCTGCTTCATTTGAAGGAGGGGACTGATGGGGCCAAGTTTCCCTTCACTGCAGATTCTATAAAATGTGAGGATGATGAAGAGAAAACTTCATTCTCACTCCTTAATCAGCAACAAATAGAAGACAGAGATGTCCCAACCAGCAGCTTAGCTGACCAGATGACAGCAGTAACTGGTGGAGGAGCAGAAACTAGGAACCCAGATATGAACCCTCATGAACAGGCACTTGATTCTTCAGAGACTGAAGTTAGTGGAGATGATGAAAAGGAAGAGGCTGATGTGCATCCAGACTCTGAGCTATCAGACTCTGGGTCTGACACTAAAGATGAAGACAATGACATGAATGAGTCAGATGTTAATTTTGTCAACAAGTCCTTTAGCTGCCCTGAGTGTGGAAAAACATTTCTGCAGAAGTGGTCTCTCCAGAAACATGTAAGAGTGACAAGTCATTTAGCAATAAGGTCTTCTGGCTATTTAGTTGATAAGAAACATGTTGCAGTGAAGCAATATGTAGATTCAAGCAGGAAAGTCCAGAAAGAACCAAAATCATGGAGTTGTGATGACTGTGGAAAAACATTTAGACATAAAAGTAGTCTAAAAAGACACGTGAGAGTCCACACAGGACAGAAACCATTTGCATGTGAACTCTGTGAAAAAAGATTTACTCATAAGCGATATCTAAACAGTCACATGAGCGTCCACACAGGACAGCACCCATTTGCCTGTGAACTCTGTGGACAAAGATTTACTCAAAAGCAAAGTTTAAACAGTCACATGAGAATTCACACAGGACAGAAACCATTTGCCTGTAAACTCTGTGGACAAAGATTTTCTCATGAGAAAAATTTAAAGAGACACATGGTCATCCACACAGGACAGAAACCATTTGCTTGTGAACTATGTGGAAAAAGATATACTCAAAAGCAAAATTTAAACAGCCACATGATAATTCACACAGGACAGAAACCATTTGCCTGTGAACTCTGTGGACAAAAATTTACTCAAAAGCAAAATTTAAACAGTCACATGATAGTTCACACAGGACAGAAACCATTTGCCTGTGAACTCTGTGGACAAAAATTTACTCAAAAACAAAGTTTAAACAGTCACATGAGAATTCACACAGGACAGAAACCATTTGCCTGTGAACTCTGTGGACAAAGATTTACTCAAAAGACAAGTTTAAACTGTCACATGAGAGTCCACACAGGACAGAAGCCTTTTTACTCATGAGCTCTTTGAACCAATGCGGCAAGGTGGAGAAATGAGGGCCCGGGCGGGATTCGATCCCCAGATTCCCGGGTGAGAGTCATATGCTCTAACCAGTCAGCCAAATGGACATCCCCTTGGCCAAGTAGCCAGGGCGCATGATCAATCGGGACATTGTGACAGGACGCTCACACTGTCACATCTTCCCCCCTCTTTCCACAAGCACGTCCTCGTGCTCCCTCGCAGGGTGCCACAAACTTCACATCCATGGACCTACTTGACAGTACTACATGGATCCTGCCAACAACGCCAAATGTGGCAAGGTGGAGAAACGAGGGCCCGGGCGGGATTCGATCCCCAGATTCCCGGGTGAGAGTCATACGCTCTAACCAGTCAGCCAAAGGGACATCCCCTTGGCCAAGTAGCCAGGACGCATGATCAATCGGGACATTGTGACAGGACGCTCACACTGTCACACCAAGATGAAACCATAAAACAAGTATAAACAGTCATTTGAGATTCCACACAGGACAGAAGCCTTTTGCCATGGAACTCCACTGACAAAGACCTAAAAGAGACATATTTAAACAGACAAGTGAGTCCACAGATGACACAAATAACTCATTATCTACAAGTTTACCTGAAAGGGGCCCTCTTTATACATTCTAGATGTCAGTCTGGTACTCCTGGTAGATTTCCTTTATCGTAGATCAGGGTCGCATCTGGCCCATGCCCTGTGAGCCACATATTGTGGCCCCCAAGCTGTAAATGTTTAAATCCCTGTTTTCATCGAGAGACAGTGCAAAATTGTTTGTGTCACTAATGACTTCTGTCCTTTTCTACCAGATTTGTAAGCATTGTGAAACATAGTATGCAGCAATTTTTTATTAGTAGATGGGTGCGTTTGCACTGACCATGGAGCTTTGCGTTTTAGACAAGTCAAGTCTATTTTTTGCAAGCTATGCTCTGCAGTTTTGATAGACCAGCAGGTTAAGACACACCAAATTCTGGTGTCTGCGTTTAACACCATGATGAAGTGTAAATCTGTACCTGAACGTTAAGTGAGTTAGCGTTGGTCCAGTCCGCTTCTCACAGATGCCGCTGTTGCCGGTTTTCTGCTCAGAGGGGTGACAACTGAGCTGTCGACACGCACGTCACTGCAAGGAAGCAGAACCAGAGCCGGCGGCCGACATCACCAGGCCCGGCGGTCAACATCACGAGACCGGCAGCCGACATCACCAGGCCTGGCGGCTGACATCACCAGACCCGGCGTGGCCGACACCACGGCACCACCAGGCCCGGCGTGGCTCTCCGGCGCGGCCGACGGCACTAGATCCGGTGTGGTTCCTCCGGGGAGGCTGACAGCGGTGAGCCCTGCCATCGAGCCCGACTTGGCGACGTGGAGCTCGGCCTGTTACACTGGGGTCTCGGGACCGGAGGACGGCAAAATAGGAGAAATCTGAGTAGGAAAAATGCCAGGAGGACGATCGGCTGGACGGGGCAAAGACATGGCTGCAGATGACCTGGACGTGATCAAACGGTCTCTGAACTACATGTCAGGAGAGCTGTCAAAAGTGACATCGCTGCAGGATCGCTTGCTAAGACTGATGGACGAGGTGAGAGAACTCAAAAGTACTGTTAACCGAGAAAGAGAAAAAGATATCGGCTTTAGAGCAAAGAGTGGACGAACTTGAACAATATACAAGAAGAGAAGACTTGGTAATAATGGGACTTGAAACCAGACACAGAAGCTATGCTAATGCAGTTACCAATCATAACTCAGCAGAAGGTGCCTCAGAAAAAGAACTTGAGTCACTTGAACAACAAGTTGTAACATTTCTACACAGTAAGAATATTTCCATACAAAAAGAAGCCATTTCCATTTGTCACACACTGCCTAAGAAATATGAAAAGGCAAAACCAGCTATTATAATAAGGTTCACCAGCAGAAAACAAAGAAGCAATGTATTGGCACAAGGAAACAAGCTAAGAGGCACTAATGTGTACATGAACAAACATCTAACCAAAAAAAATGGGACGATAGCCAGAGAAGCATGGATGCTAAAAACACAGAAATAAATTATAGCAACATGGACAAGAAATGGGAATGCATGGATCAAAGAACAAGAAGGGTCACAGGCTAAGATAATAAAGGAGCTGAAGGAACTGGAAAATTTCAATGAACAATGACTGATAGACTGAAGAGAAATGTTGGAAAAATAAATATAGTAAAAATCCACAACGAAGTCACAAAAACTAACATAAAAAAACACATGGACACAAGAATACAAGAAGAACTAGAATACAAAATATAGGATCCTGGAAAAGATTTAGACAATAATCTGTACATGCATAATAATTAATGCAAATACAGGTGCTGGCCAGTAAATTAGAATATCATCAAAAGGTTGAAAATATTTCAGTAATTCCATTCAAAACGTGAAACTTGTACATTATATTCATGCAATGCACACAGACCAATGTATTTCCAATGTTCATTACATTTAAATTTGATATTCATAAGTGACAACTAATGAAAACTCCAAATTTGGTATCTCAAAAAATTAGAATATTCTGAAAAGGCTGAATATAGAAGACACCTGCTGCCACTCTAATCAGCTGATTTACTCAAAACACCTGCAAAGGCCTTTAAAAGGTCCCTCAGTCTTGTTTTGAAGGCACCACAATCATGGGGAAGACTTCTGACTTAACAGCTGTCCAAAAGACAATCATTGACACCTTGCACAAGGAGGGCAAGACACAAAAGGTGATTGCTAAAGAAGCTGGCTGTTCGCAGAGCTCTGTGTCCAAGCACATTAACAGACAGGCGAAGGGACGGAAAAAATGTGGTAGAAAAAAGTGTACAAGCTCTAGGGATAACCGCACCCTGCAGAGAATTGTGACGACAAACCCATTCAAAAATGTGGGGGAGATCCACAAAGAGTGGACTGCAGCTGGAGTCAGCGCTTCAAGAACCACCACGAGGAGACTCATGAAAGACATGGGATTCAGGTGTCGCATTCCGTGTGTCAAGCCACTCTTGAACAAGAAACAGCGCAAGAAGCGTCTTGCCTGGGCCAAGGACAAAAAGGACTGGACTGATGCTGAGTGGTCCAAAGTTATGTTTTCTGATGAAAGCAAGTTCTGCATTTCCTTTGGAAATCAAGGACCCAGAGTCTGGAGGAAGAGCGGAGAAGCACAGAATCCACGTTGCATGAGGTCCAGTGTAAAGTTTCCACCGTCAGTGATGGTGTGGGGTGCCATGTCATCTGCCGGTGTTGGCCCACTCTGTTTCCTGAGGTCCAGGGTCAATGCAGCCGTCTACCAGGAAGTTTTAGAGCACTTCATGCTTCCTGCTGCTGACCAACTTTATGGGGATGCAGACTTCACCTTTCAACAGGACTTGGCACCTGCACACAGTGCCAAAACCACCAGCACCTGGTTCAAGGACCATGGTATCCCTGTCCTTGATTGGCCAGCAAACTCGCCTGACCTTAACCCCATAGAAAATCTATGGGGTATTGTGAAGCGGAGGATGCAATACGCTAGACCCAACAATGCAGAGGAGCTGAAGACGACTATCAGAGCAACCTGGGCTCTCATAACACCTGAGCAGTGCCACAGACTGATCGAGTCCATGCCACGCCGCATTACTGCAGTTATTGAGGCAAAAGGAGCCCCGACTAAGTATTGAGTGCTATACATGCACATTCTTTTCATGTTCATTCTTTTCAGTTGGCCAACATTAGAGAAACAAACATTTTTTCATTGGCCTTTAGAATATTCTAATTTTCTGAGATACCAGATTTGATGTTTTCATTGGTTGTCACCTATAAATATCAAAATTAAACGTAATAAACATCGGAAATACATTGGTCTGTGTGCATTGCATGAATATAATGTACAAGTTTCACGTTTTGAATGGAATTACTGAAATATTTTCAACCTTTTGATGATATTCTAATTTACTGGCCAGCACCTGTATAATAGTGACCAAGAATTGCGTGACTGTGCCTTGGTGAATGATCCACTTCAGTAGTAGAAGTTTGCATTGCAATTATGATAAAATATTGGAGTTTTTTAACACAAAATAAAGTGAGATTTAAGGTCATTGCTGTTACAGAAACATTGTTACAAGATGGAGATGTTGAGGACGTTCAAATAGACGGGTATGATGTATTACCAGAATCTGGAAAATAAAAAAGGTGGTGGTGTAGCACTGTATATATGTAACACCCTAAAAAGCAAAGTGATGTATAACATGTCGACAGCAACTGCTGATGTAATGGAAATGATCACTGTTGAAATAACATCTGAGAAGACAAAAAAAATAATAATTAGCAGTATTTATAGAGCACCAGGTTCCTGTATTGAATCATTTACAAACGCAGTTTCGGAAATGTGTAATGGAATTGGTAACAAGAATTTGTTTCTCTGTGGGGATTTCAACATTGATAGTAAATTCCATGTATCTACTTGGTCTGTTTCCACTGATAACCAAACCCACAAGAATTACTGTACAAAGCTCAACAATTATAGATAACATATTTTGTAATGTTTCAGAGGGGTTGGAGAGTGTTGGAATCATAATGACTGATATTAGTGATCATCTGCCAGGCTATGGCGACGTAGCGGCGACACATAAAAGCCAATGCCTGGTGGCAGCGGCGCACCTTAGGAAAGTATGGAGAGTGATTTCTGCTACGGATTACCAGCCTAAGGAGAACAACGTCATACGTCAACTTTTGAGAAGAAGCGGGGGAAGCACGTCGTCTCTGTAACGTGTGGAAAAGTGCATCGTCATTAAGCTCTAACATATATTCGCCACTGGGGGCAGCAGCAGGCAATTTTCAGTGGGTTTTTGCAATCTCCTGTTTGTTACAACACAAAATAAACTAAGAAATCCCCTCATGAGTTACATAACTGACATGTTTTCACATCAGAAATACTTCTCAAATTGAAGACCATCCAACTACAAATTTACTAGTGAAAACTGCTGAAAAGTATGCGTCACCAATATCATTTGTGGAAATTAAGATTCAGCCAAGCCTCTTGGTGTATTTTCTTACTCTACTGCTGGTACGATAGGAACAATCAGTGGGCTATTCTGTGGTGACACATTTTTGTTTTCTTTCTTTAAAAGGTTTTTAGGTTTCAAAAAGGAGTAACCAGTCACCCGCTTATAACATTCGAATCGGGTGAACCAGTTTTCTGTAGCTAGTGGTGAACAGAGGAGCTTGCTTTGAGCATGTGCTCTGGCTGAGCAGCTTGTGTGCTCTTATGACCAGATTCCCACTCATGTTATAAACATAATCACAAGAGACAGCTCATTTTGGAAATGCATAGCAATACGTGGTCAGCATAGCTTAATGACCGGGAGGGGATGTAGGGCGAGAGCGAAGAGAGTGAAGTCATATTATTACTTCTATTTGTTAATTTAGCAAACACGTGTTATTTTCACATATATTAATGTAGATATAACAAACATATTCTTTATTTTTTAAAGATTTACTGTGATTACAACAGAAAATGTGTTTTTCAGTTTACAGTACTTTTCTGTTGTGTATTTAAATGTATTTACACCGTTTTAGTGTAAATTTCACAGCCATTTTTTTTTACTGTGCAGTTTAAATGCCGCCTTACCACTCCAGTATAGCAGGTGGCGCTAGTGCACCTTTACGCTGGTCACCGACCACCGGAAGAAGCAGAAACCGGAAGCTGCTAGCAGAGCTAGCTTGTTGTTGTTCTGGTGTGTGAGGAGAATATTTGAGGCTCTGCAGTAAAAATGTCTTCACTTCAGTCTCTGGGAGAGTTGATCAGCTAAAGCGACTAACTGCTGCTGCTGCAGAAATCTTCTCACCAGGCTGTGGAAACTTTCTTCTCCTCCTCAACAACTTGGTGGAGTTCTTTCCAGAACCGGAGAAGATATTCTGCGGTCTTCGTGATAATATGAGCTCCAGAATCAGGTTGTGGGTGAGAAAAGCTTTTCTCTAGACTTCCTGCCCTCTGGATCTGCTGCTGTTCCTTTGGCCTCTCTGAGAAACGCGCTCGTTTTGCTGCTTTCATCAGATTGAAGAGGTTCCCTCTATCAGACTCGCTCATCTGAGTTGGTCATGATGCAGGATCGCTGCTCGCTCTCTGATCCATCCTGCTCACACTCTCCGACGGAAAAGCCCCGAATCTGAATGTGACTCTGGAGGAAAAAGCGGTTAGCTCTACTCCGTGAACTCTGGTGAGCAAAGGTCCTCTTTTCCAGACTGGATCTGTCCTCAGCTGATCAGAACCAAAGCGTTGGATCTTTAATCTCCTGCGTTGTTCTGAAGCAGCATCTTAATCAGCTCTCCTGCTTTGTTTCTATTGCAGCTGTTAGCTAAACACGGCTAAAGAAAACCTGCTACCACTTCAGGATCTGGGACTGATTCATCGTGTGTTCTTCACCACCTGGACCTGGACAGCATGGACACAGGTACTGGTGCACACCAAACCATCAGCACTCCCACATCCATAATCCAGCATCTCTGTACAGATGGTCTCTGCAGACAGACTTCAGTGATGCACAAACACAAGAAAACATCAACGGTGACTACTGGACTCTATTAAACCACTGAGAGCATTTCTAATAGACACAGAGGTCTACAGCGGTGATTCACTACGACATTTATCTACAGTTCCAGTATAAATCACTAGGGTTTTGGTGGCAGAGGAGTTAGGTGTTTGTCCCAGAGTAAGAAGGTTGCAGGTTCACTCTCCGCTCAGTCTGTTGCTATTGTTGTGTCCTTGGGCAAGACACTTAACCCTCCTTTGCTGTTGGTGGTGGTCAGAGGGACCGGTAGCGCCTGTGTTCTGCAGCCTTGCTGTCTGTGTGCTCCTGGGAGGCTGTGATTATGAAGCCAGGTTTATGCTTCTGCATCGGCGCCACAAGGGCAACACACACACACACAAACACTGACAGAGACGTTTTGCGCTTTGACTTCTTCGTTTCCTGGGAAGTGTTGCAAAGCATTTCTCCACCAGGACAACAGAGGGCATTGCGCTTTTCTGTGGTATACTGTAGTTCAATCCAAGATAATGCATTTACTATTGTGTTTATATTGTTTTATGGATGTCAGAGACTTTTTATCACAGACAAATTTGTCCCCCATTCTCCTTCACCTATTCATGCACTCGCCACCTCTAAACCTACGCTTTCCGTCCATAAATAAAATGCTTGCTGCATATCTTTAAACTCGTCCAGTCACAGGTGAATAAAATCAGTGTTTCCCTTCCGTAGGCTCAGCCACGAACAAATCAGCTCCAACTCAGATTACATCAGCGATTAAAAGGGTTTGACAGTAATATTAAAACAATCCAACGAACAGGAGTTCATTTAGTAATGTCCTACGATTCTCCTGTAGTTGTCCACAACAAGCAAGTGCGGCAAGCCATTTTAAAATTTAATCAACAACAGCTCTCTGTAAGTCCTGTTCTACATACCAATAATAAAAAGTGTCCTTGTCCAAGTACCAGTAATACTTTTTCTGATGAAATTTGAAAAGAAAGAAGTAGAAATCGGGTTTAAAGTGGCGGTGTATGTTTTCCCTGGCGATAGGGGGCAGTTCATACCCAAGTCGCTCGGCTTTACTTGTGACAACAATAGCAAGAGGTAAACAGTGTGAAGTGATCTGATAACGCATCCAGACTGCTGTGTCTGTCCTACCACTGCTGAAGCTCAGAGAGAAACAGATGCTGTGTGTGTGCGTGCGTGCGTGCACCATAACATTCCTCTCTCCCTCCCTTACGTGCTGGAAATGTCTCATGAGGAAGTCGAGACTTTTCTCTTTTAATAAAATGATTCTTCTTTGGTTATAAAATGATTTCTTTTAATCCACAGGTTGTTTACAATCATATACCGTAAATCCTCTAATATTAGCCTGTATTTAATTAACAGCCGGGTATCATATTTTGGCCGGTGTCGGAGTCGGTGGAGGTGAATAATGGCCGGTTTTTTATTGTGGCTGGGTGGAATGTGGTAACAAGCAAGTACGGGGGGCGGTTGTGTCATCCGTCTCACTTTTAATTTGCCAGTGATAGACCACGAGGGTAACTTTAACCGTGCGGAGACGAAGAGGAGGCGAAAATTTGATATCAAGTTCAAAGAGAACGTGCTGATTATGCTGCAGAACACTCTGGGGAGCAGTAGCAGGGGTTGTATGAACTAGTCACTAGTCGACTTCACTGCTCTATAGTGACTTTTTATGCCTGTCATCGACTAGTCGCTGTCACGTGATAATGACCGGCAAGATGCAGTCCACGGAAAAGACAGCAGCCTGCTGTCAGCAGGTGACAAGCTCCTGCACGTCGGGAGGCAACGCGCTGTGCCAGAGCGTCGGTACTGACACCCGCCGTAAAACGGACATTTAACCAAATTGTGACCTTTACCCTCTTGCAATTTAACCTTCCCCTCACCCCCATCCTAACCTTAACCAGCTTGCGCATGCAAAGCTCTGATTGTTGACGCGCTCCAGACATCTGCGTCCTGAGCACGGCCACAGTAACGTTATCAAATCAGGTGTCGCCACCTCAAAAACTAATTTAACACGCGATCCTTCATGTCGGCTCATTTCCTTTTATGTTTTCTGTCTTTTATTCTTTTATTTGTGTCTGATGCCTTTCGCTGCTGTGGAGCGGGGCGCATCACCTGTTTTGTCCTTGGTGACACATCTAACTGATGCGGCCGGCGAGCACTCCGCTGTTTTTGCGGTCGGTAGATCTTTTAGAACTGCAGTTCAAAGGTAACTCATGAGGTGAATATATATGAACCCAGGTAGCAGTTTTTCTTTAGGATTGAGAGGAGATGCAGGAAGATAATAAACAGACAGGACAGAAAAATAGTCAAATAAAAACAAGTTAGTTTTTGTACCTGGTGGTTGCAACAAACAGACACCATTGAAGTTAATCAGAAGTGAGGAACAGAAAATGAAATAATTATTTTAATGTTTAGAGCAGCAGGAACTCCGAGAGGCTGCAGGTGCATCAGTGAGTTTGCGGCCGCTGCGCAGGGGGAGGGGGGAGAGGGCTGAAGCAGAAACTACCGTTGTTAAAAGAAATGTGTTTAACTTTGAAAATGTGGGAGCAATTTTAATTGTCAAAAACTCCAGCGAACCATTAGTTCATTTTGCTCAAATAGAAATTGAGGCCTGCCTCTAATACTGACCCTCCTTCCAAAAAAGGCCTGGAGCTTGATGAGCTTGAGTCAAAAACAGGCCCGGGCCTGTATTAGAGGATTTACGGTAATATTTATCTACAATGAATGTTCTATCAAAGTGGTATAATAATGAATTAATCAATCAACATTAATGCTCATTATTTCATGACAATTCAGATCTTAAATACATTACTTGATGATAATGATTAATTATCAATTACGTTCACATATTAATATCAGTTTGTTAACTAATGAGTGTTTAACAGATGTTCTTCACATTAAGTGGAACCAGCCTCTTCGGAGTGTCTGAGGATCTTGGTAACACCCAGATCTGGTGGGTCAAAGTTCATAAACAAACACTGATGTGTGAAAATACAAGAAACAATAATAATATTGTTTCTTTTACCATTAACCATAAAATCCATTCATCCAGCTATTACTAAACACTAACTACATTTACAGTCGCCTGTTGTGACACATTCATTGGGTCTGTTCTAAAACGTTATTATGAAACAACCATAACTAATCTATAGTTTAATCAAAACCTCTTTTACTGACAAACATTCAACCTGGTTTTAGAATCAATATGCATTTTTAACCATTTATGCACTAAATCACATTTAAACTGAAACAATGATGTTTATAAAAACAAGTGTAACATCATACAGATTACTTACTTTTCAATCTACACTCAAAGTATCACACACGTTCCCCACATTCACACACTGAAGTTCATTTAACGGTTCAGCTGACAGCTTGTGCTGAACCTGGTTCTAGTTAAAACGTTAAACCATAACGCTCACTTCTTTACAAATCATCACTAATGGTGATTTGTTTCCTGCAGTAACTTTAAATCGTTTAAAAAAGTGTTTCTAACCTGGAAAGCAGGAAGTAAAATGAACACGCAGTGATGGAGACACAGTCTGGTTTCCTTGGCGATGTCTCAGCTCACGAGGCACTGATAGACCCCACGTGACCGATGTTTGCTGATACCACCGTAATGGGAAAAAAACAGTGCATGTAGGAGAAAAGGATTAAAAAAAGTAAAAATGTATTTTAAAAAAGTATAAAACAGATGCATGGCTGAATTTTTAGCTTTACGTAAATGGTTTAAAAAGTTTTGTTCAAATTTTAGAGATGTTCCACAAAGTTAATGAACGTAAAGTCATCACATGACTGCGCCAGGACCGCGCACCAAGAGAAAAGTGGCAGCACGCCAGCTGAATTGGTGTCTAAAAAGAACACAACTTCTGCAGTTTGTGTGTGTTTTTGATTCGGAGCAAACTTAAAACGAGAGCCGGTAAACACTGATGAGGTCATTTGTGCAAACAAAAAATGCCAGCGAAAGACACACGCCCCGCCGGCACAGCAGAGGAGCGAGCCATAGCTGAAATGGCAGCCTTCTGTCATTAAAGGAGACAACAACAAGCTTTTCTGGTGGAAAATTTGCAGCCAGCCTCCCCCAGATTTCACAACTAGCCCCCAAAGTACCCGTATGTATGGTTATCAATCCACAACGTCCTCGGTTGAATCCGGTAAAGATAAACATGTTGATTTTTCAGGCGAAAAATCTTTTTATGAGTTGTGTTTCTTTTGAAGTTGTTGATATTATGTGTTATGTTGTTGTTTTAATAGTGTTTGTTATTCAGTTACTGAACAGTGAAGGGCCAAACCAACAGTTTGGTAATTCCACTTTAGGCTTACGCCATAATTGTTTTAATTGGTCCCGGTAATATCGTACACCATGGTAAAATGTGGAGGAAGCGAGATGGTATCAACATTTGGATACCGCCCAAGCCTAATCTGGAAGCTTTGTGCTAAACACTGTTAGATTTGAGATGTTTCTTTTTTTAATCTTGTGTGTGTGTGTGTGTGTGTGTGTGTGTGTGTGTGTGTGTTGTCAGTATGTTAGAAAATGTGTTTTTTTTCTTGTAAGCCTAAATAATTTAAATATCTGTGTATTCATATTCTCTCAATAATTCCTTGTTTTCTGGGTCAGTTCTAATCTCACCAGCCTAAAGCAATAATACATCTGTCATACATGCAAATATAAAGTTACACCAGTCGATAATTCACATCATGTGTTTCCTTCAGACTTTCATCAGCTGGTTCTGGTTAAAGAAGAAGCTACTGAAGGACAAAATGCTGGTGTGGACCAGCAGGACCCAGAAACTCTTCAGCTAAAGGAGGAACAGGAGGAACTCTGGACCAGTCTGGAGGGAGCACAGCTTCATTTGAAGGAGGAGACTGATGGTGCCAGGTTTCCAATAACTGCAGTTTCTATAAAGAGTGAAGATGATGAAGAGAAACCTCTGTTCTCACAGCTTCATCAGCAGCAAATAGAAAACAGAGATGTCCCAACCAGCAGCTCAGCTGACCAGATGACAGCAGAAACTAACAGTAACTCAGACCTGAACCCATGTGAACAGACAGCTACTTCAGAGACCGAAGTTAGTGGTGATTATGAAAAGAAGGAATCTGAGATATCAGACTCTGGGTCTGAAACTGGAGACGAAGATGATGACTGGAATGAGTCAGGTGTTAACAAATCATTTAGCTGCCCTGACTGTGGTAAACATTTTCTCTACAAATGGTCACTCCAGAAACATATGAGAGTTAAAAATCATTCAGCAATAAGGTCTTCAGGCTGTTTGGTTAACAAGAAATGTGTTCGAGTGAAAAAACATGTTGACTCATATCGTAAAGTCCAAAAAGAACAAACAGCATTTAGTTGTGACAACTGTGGAAAAAGATTTAGTTATAAAACAAATCTAAACAGACACATGGGAGTCCACACAGGAGAGAAACATTTTACCTGTGAACTCTGTGGACAAAGATTTAGCCAAAAAGCACATTTAAACAGACACGATAAACTCCACACAGGACAGAAAACTTTTACCTGCGAACTTTGTGGACAAAGATTTAGCCAAAAAGCACATTTGAACAGACACATTAAACTCCACACAGGACAGAAACCTTTTGTCTGTGAGCTCTGTGGACAAAGGTTCACTCAAAAGACAAGTTTAAATAGACACATGAGCATCCACACAGGACAGAAACATTTTCTTTGTGAGCTCTGTGGACAAAGATTTACTCATGAGAAAATCTTAAACAAACACATGAGCATCCATACAGGACAGAAACCATTTACCTGTGAGCTCTGTGGACAAGGATTTATTCATAAGACAAGTTTAAACAGACACATGAGCATCCACACAGGACAGAAACCTTTTGCCTGTGAACTATGTGGACAAAGATTTAATCTTAAGACAAGTTTAAATAGACACGTGAGAGTTCACACAGGACAGAAACCATTTGCCTGTGAGCTCTGTGGACAAAGATTTACTGAAAAGACAAGTTTAAACAGACACGTGAGCGTTCATACAGGACAGAAACCTTTTGCCTGTGAGCTCTGTGGACAAAGATTTGCTCATAAGAAAAATCTAAATGAACATATTATAATCCACACAGGACAGAAACCATTTGTCTGTGAGCTCTGTGGACAAAGATTTACTCATAAGAAAAATTTAAATGAACACATTAGAATCCACACAGGACAGAAACTATTTTCCTGTGAGCTCTGTGGGCAAAGATTTGCTCATAAAAAAAATGTAAATGAACACATGAGTGTCCATACAGGACAGAAACCTTTTACCTGTGAACTATGTGGACAAAGATTTACTCGAAAGACAAGTCTAAACAGACATGAGAGAATTCACATAGGACAGAAACATTTGCCCTGAACTCTGTGGAAAAATATTTAAGTGAAAGACAAGTTTAAAGGGGTGGAAAAATGCAAAGCAATATTTCCTTGTTGTTGTTGTTGAATAAGCACAGCTTTTTTGCTCAAATGTAGCATACCAAAAAGTCAAAGCCATGTGAGACCTGCTTTCTATGTAAAATAGAAATGTAAAAAAGGTGAGAGAAAAACTCCTGCTTTGAGCGAGGCTAAGATATTATGTCATAAAGCCTGCCGCACATGTGAGCAAAAACTGCTGAGCAAACAGCCTCGAAAGACTGTTTGCTAAGCAGATACCTTGCTGTGTGCGCCAAATTTTCACTGAGTTTTCAGCCTCACGAGACGCTGAGGTGAATATCTGACCGGTTTGATATTTTCCACCTCATGGGGGTAAAAACTTGCCTTGTGCACGCTATGTGAGCTGCTGGCTGAGCTGACATATTCTAGTGGAATATTCTTGACAAATCATTATTTAGCATATCAGAAACATTATATTTACATTTTTAAACCATATGGGGAGAATTGTCCATCCAGCTGTATTTCAGGGCTGCCAGTTTTCATGCATCGAGCATGACACACTCATTTGACTGTTTTCACATGCTCTCATTTCACCCCCGCCCACTGTCATGGCTGACGGAGGGACAACAAGCGGGGAAATTGCTACAAAAATGGCAAGAAAATGGCAGTTAACAATGGAAGAGAGACAGACCATCATAACACCTTAAAATGTAGGTCTTTCCTACAGAGAAATTTCAAAGAAAGTCAAGGTGTCAGTGAGTACAGTTTCCTTCACCATCAAAAGGCACTCAGAAACTGGGGCAACCTCTGATAGCAAGAGGTCTAGCCACAACTGCATCAGAGGATAGGTTTCTGAGAGTTAACAGTTTGCGTGATAGGCGGCTCACAGGACAACAGCTTCAAGCAAAGCTTAATAGTGGTCGTAGTAAGCAAGTCTCAGTTTCAACTATGAAGAGAAGAATTCAAGCTGCAGGTTTGACAGGACGAGTTGTAGCAAGAAAGCCACTGCTAAGACTTCAGAATAAGAGAAAGAGGCTTGCCTGGGCCATGAAACACCGTCATAGGACTACTGAAGACTGGAAGAAGGTATTATGGACTGATGAATCCAAATTTGAAATCTTCGGTTCATCACGCAGGATCTTTGTACGCCGTCAAGTAGGTGAAAGGATGGTTCCACAGTGTGTGGCATCAGCTGTCAAACATGGAGGAGGAAGTGTAAGTATAAGCACTTACATTTAGATTCAATTAAAGGTTTGAGATTCTAGTCAGAGTACATTTCTCCCCATGTGCTTTAATATGTGATCACCATAATTCTAATGCTTTCAACTTTACTTTTTTTATTTTTTGTTTGCAATGTGTAGCCTACATTTTTATTAAATGTGTGTGTGTGTGTGTGTGTGTGTGTGTGTGTGTGTGTGTGTGTGTGTGTGTGTGTGTGTGTGCGCACGCGTGCGTTCAGGTGTAACTGTGGAAACTGCTCTATGTCCACATAGGTTGAAATCAGTGCTGCAGAGAAATTTCCAAGCTCAGCCTGCTTTGCTAATGTAACATTTTGTAAGTGGTTACTTTTAATAAATTGTCAATAGAATATAAAGGCATTCAATAAAATGTAATGTTCCATAAAATATAGATTATCAATATTATTGAACCTTTATTATTTGATTGATGATGAAAATAGGTATTGTGGGTATGCCAGGGAACCAACACTCACCATCATAAAAATGTATTATTATATTTCTACCACTAATGGTCATACAGGGTGGATGATTATGAAGGATGATTTAAGGTAATATCAACTGAGACAACAAATAAACCGATGAAACATGATCTTAGATGTTATTAAGAGCCTGCTTTAAGCCGGGCGTACACTGTGCGACTTTTTCACTTTTTTGAGCCGATTTTCCAGTCGTGCGAGAAGCCACGACATCGGGGCGAGTTTTGCGCCGAGCGGTCGTGTAGTGTACAGGGGGTTACGAGAGGCGATTAACACCACGTGACCAGCCGCCGATCAGCAGTCGTGAGGTCGCAGGGACTTCTGGTGTGTTTAATATTTCGCTCGTCCCTCGTGAGGGTATCGCACTGTTGAAGCGGCGCTGCGAGCAGCTACGATCCAAAAAGTATCAGAACCGCTCACGGCGCATGCGCACGCAATCCTGCATCTACGCCGGCCGGTCGCTCGCTATTTCCCTAATAACACACGCTGTTCGTTTTTGTTTCTACACGTTTTTTTTACTCACAAAGATTGTCAAGAAAGCGTGTTTGTCGTGTTCATGTCAAATTAAACTGATCACAAAACACAGATTTACTCTTTATTTCGTTTTCCTCATCCAACCCCCATAAATCCCTGTGTGTCCTCCTGCAGCACTCCCGAAGGACAACAGGCAAGACAAAAAAGTCTGACGTGTTGAGTAAAAACTGCTATTTTTAGCACATTTTTAGGGCCGACGTGTTGCTACCAGACGTACAGTGTGAGCAGTCAGGTCGCATGCGAGAACTGGGTCGTACAGTGTGAGCACACGACTCGTGCGATCTGCTCTGCGAGGAAGTCGTACAGTTTGAGCTGAAGCTGAACGCTGCGAGTGAAAAAGTCGCACAGTGTACGCCCGGCTTAAGTGTCTTTAGAAATGAACGTGATGTCTGGGTTTATAAAATTAGTCTGGCTGAATTTAGGGGGTGTTTAATTAGTTATCAAATTAATCTTACCCTTCCAACTTCAGTGGAGAGACTACGTTACCAGTGTAATGGGAGTTCTCTGTAGATCCTGCCTGCATTGAAGTCGGCTTGACACGTATGGCGAGTTGTTATATGTTTTGGAGTTCAAAGGTCGTAGGCCCCTCGAATCCGCACGGCTGGTCAGTAAGCGGGTCAGAGCCCCCTCATTTCAGCTACTTGTATCAGCGATCTCGTTCTTTCTGTCACTACCCAAAGCTTTTGTCCGTAGGTGAGGGTAGGAACGTAGATCGACTGGTAAATTGTGAGCTTTGCTTTCTGGCTCAGCTCTCTTCACCACAACAGATCGGTACAATGCCTGCATCACTGTACATGCAGCATCAATCCGCCAATCAATTTCACGCTCTGGGTTGATATGGTGATTGAGGTTTTAGGGAAGAGTAAAGCCGGGTATCATCAATAAAGCAATGATTGCAAATGTTACATTTCTGAAAGATGCAACCAAGTGGAAAGAGATAGATTATGAAGAGAACAGGTCCCAGAACAGAGCCCTAACTGGGGAGGGGTCCAACGTTTCCCTGCTGCCACACACCTGACTTAAATTCAATTCAATTCAAGTTTATTTATACAGCGCCAAATCACGACAAGAGTCGTCTCAAGGCACTTCCCATAATAAACATTCCAATTCACAGTTCATTAAGCCAATCAGAAATAATGTTTCCTATATAAGGAACCCAGCAAATTGCATCAAGTCACTGACGAGTGTCAGTGACTATACAGCAATCCTCATACTAAGCAAGCATGCAGCGACAGTGGAGAGGAAAACTCCCTTTTAACAGGAAGAAACCTCCAGAGAATCCTGGCTCAGTATGAGCAGCCATCCTCCACGACTCACTGGGGATCGAGAAGACAGAGCACACACACACACACGCACGCACGCACGCACGCACACACACACACACACACACACACACACACACGACTATAGTTCTATTGTGATTTCTTAGTAAATATTCTGTTTGGTGAGATCAACTTTATTGTATTTATCCTAGTAGATCTCTAATTAAATGGGTAAACTAGCAGTAACACGTCCAACGTCAAGGAAAGCAAAAAGTTATTATCAGGAGAGGGAGAATGTTTAAGTGGTTAGCAGCAGTGTGCTAGACGATGGCCCCCTCCATGAGGCCAACACAGCTCAGCAGAACATCGTTGTAGCTTCTTCTGGGGAGAAAAACACTTAGAGAGAAAATAAAGTTAACAGCTGAAATTGCAGAAAGTAATACAGTTAAAGAGCAGATAGTAGAAGAAAGCAGTAGAGTGTGGAAAGTGGTCAGTGTATCCTCCAGCAGTCTAAGTCTATAGCAGCATAACTACAGTGATAACTCTGGATAATCTATCCTATTTAGATGGAGGCATGTTGGAGGCAAGGCAAGGGAGAGTCGTCTTTACCGACTCTACACTCCACCTCCCTCTACTCCCCCACTTGTCCTGATTTAGGCTAACATCAGATTTTAACCCTAGACCCTATCAAATAAAAATGTTTTAAGCCTATTCTTAAATGTAGACAAAGTGTCTGCCTCACGGAATAAGGCTGGGAGCTGGTTCCACAGGAGAGAAGCCTGAAAACTAAAAGATCTGCCTCCCATCCTAATTTTAGATTAGTAAACCTGCAGTCTGAGAGCGAAGTGCTCAGTTAGGAACGTACGGAACAATCAGATCACTGATGTATGATGGAGGTTGATTATTATGAGCTTTGTATGTGAGAAGGAGGATCTTAAAATCTATTCTGAATTTAACAGGTAGCCAATGTAGGGAAGCCAAGACAGGAGAGATATTATCGCTCTTTTTAATTCTCATCAGAACTCTAGCTGCAGCATTTTGGACAAGCTGAAGACTTTTAACTACATTCTGTGGACTTCCTGAGAGTAATGAATTACAGTAATCCAGTCTTGATGTAATAAATGCATGAACTAGTTTTTCAGCATCACTCCTGGAAAGTATGCTTCTAATCTTAGCAATATTCCGAAGGTGGAAAAAGGAAATCCTACAAACTTGTGAAACCTGGGATTTGAATGACATGTCCTGGTCAAAGATAACACAGAGGTTCCTTACTTTGTTCTCGGAGATTAATGTAATGCCATTCAAGTCAGGTGATTGGCTAAGCAATTTCCTTTTCTGGATTTCTGGTCCAAAGATGAGAACTTTTGTCTTGATTTAAAAGCAAAAAGTTTAGAGTCATCCAATGTTTTATGTCCTCAAGACAAGCCTGTAATCTACCCAACCGATTAGGTTCATCAGGGTTAATGGATAAATATAGCTGAGTATCATCAGCATAACAGTGGAAGTTTATCCCATGCTGTCTAATGATTTTACCATTTGGGAGCATATATATATAGTAAAAAGAATTGGTCCAAGCACTGAACCCTGTGGTACTCCGCAAGTAACCCTGGAGTATGAAGAAGATTTGTCATGTACATTTACAAAATGAAATCTGTCAGACAGGTAGGATTTAAACCAGCATAACGCTGCTCCTTTGATCCCTACAACATGTTCAAGTCTTTCTAAAAGAACATTGTGATCAACTGTGTCAAAGACAGCACTGAGATCTAACAAGACTAGAACAGACACAAGATTCTTATCTGAGGCCATAAGAATATCATTTGTAACTCTCACTAATGCAGTTTCAGTGCTGTGATACTCTCTAAAACAGGACTGAAATTCCTCAAACAGAGCATTAGTGTTTAAATGCTCACATACTTGGATGGCCACTATTTTCTCCAGGACTTTGGATAAAAGTGGAAAGTTAGATATCGGTCTATAATTCATTGGGTCATCTGGATCCAGAGAAGGCTTCTTAAGTGAAGGTTTGATTACAGCAACCTTAAAATCGTGTGGTACATACCCATTTACTAAGGATAGATTGATTATATTTAGAATGGGGGCAGTAACCAAAGGAAATGCTTCTTTAAATAATTTGGTTGGGATTGGATCCAAAATGCAAGTTGAAGGTTTAGATGAAGCTAATATTTTTGATAACTCTGAAAGCTCAACTGGATCAAAACGGTTCAAGCACAGATGAGGTTCTACAGTCACCTCTGATGCTGCCTCACTTACTGAGGAAGACGAAATCGCATTAGGGAGAATGCTAAAGATTTTGTTTCTAATAGAATTAATTTTACTTGTAAAAAATCCCATGAAGTCATTGCTGCTGAGGGCTAAGGGAATAGATGGCTCAGAGCTATGATTCTGTGTAAGTTTAGCAACTGTACTGAAAAGAAATTTAGGATTATGCTTATTCTCCTCAATTAATGCTGAAAAATAAGCAGTTCTAGTTTGTCAAAGCTTATTTTTATAAAGCACAAGACTATTTTTCCAGGATAGGTAGGCCTCCTCATGGTGCGTATAGCGCCATGTTCTCTCCAATTTCCTAGAGTTTTGTTTTAAGGCTCGTAGATGAGAGTTAAACCAGGGAGCCAACTTCCTGTCCCTAATTACCTTCTTTTTTAAAGGGGCAACATCATCTAATGCCACACGTAAAGAGGAATTAACATGATGAACTAAGGCATCAATTTGTGATGGGCTAGAACTGAGAATATTGCCCTCTGCTACGTTCCTCTGAGATGCTGAGGACAGTAAAGATGGAACAGTTGATTTAAAAGATGCAACTGAGTGAATGAGTGATCAACAGGCATCTGCAGCACTTGATGGGCATGAGTGCCCATTACCTCCCATGCACAGACTGAAAGGGGTGGGGGAGCTTGGGCCTTCTCCATTCGCTCACAGTGTGTAATCTTTCTCTGTCGCTCGCTCCTCTGGCTAGTGGTGTGCCACTGAAGCCTCATGAAGTGCTTTGAAGCATTCTCTACTGACAACAGGCCTTGAACACGTTAGCTGTGGCGCCATCTAGAGGTAGTAGGTAATATTACAATGCATTAAAATGCTTTATACACACACGTAGACATATTGAGTCTGAGGATGGATGCTTTTCACGTGTGTACATGTTTTTTCCCAACTATGAGTTGTATAATCAAATAAAGTGCTGTTCCTGTGTATTCCTTGTTTTATGGTGAATACCTGCTTTCTGTTGACAGTGTGTGTGCATGTCCTTTTGTGAATTGGGGAATTGTGCTGTGCAATCGTGCTTTAATGCATTACCATCAACTGATACGCCCCAACA